TGCATTATCTGTATAACTTATTTTTGTTTTTAAAATCTACTTAGCAAATGAGTGAACTTTTATAGCAAGTTCCTGTTTGCTAAGTTAACTTTTCTCTCTTTAGGTGATGTTTTGCCAGTTATTCATTTGGCATATACTTACCATATTAGGTATTGCATTGAAATTTTAATCTCCACAAAAGTATTGTAGCAAAAAGATTGATGCCCTCAGTCCTTAGCAGTATAGAGATTGGTAACCAGGCAGTGGTGGTGCATGTCTTTAATCCCAGCACCCTGGAGGCAGAGGCAGACAGATCTGAGTTCCAGATCAGCATCTTCTACAAGAACTAGTTCCAGGGCAGGCTCCAAAACTACAGAGAAACCCTGTCTCAGAAAACAAACAAAAGTATAGAAATTGTTGCTTACCCGAGGTTAGAGTCAGGATGCAGGGGAGTCAAGCTCAGACTTGCATTGATTTGATTTAAAAGCATGTCTTCTCAAACATTTAAAAAATTTTAGGAAAGGGGAAAATGTTGAGTTAAGCAAAGAAAGTAAGATTGTAACAACTACCTTGTTATATGCAAATAAAGAAGCTTAGCTAACCACAATGGCAATCTGAAACTTATGAATACCAGATACTCTGAAAACCTAGGAGACCATGCTGAGCAACCAAATGAGTCCTTTCTCAAAACAGAAACAATCCAAACAAACTTAACTCTCCTAGAAATTGTGGATGGATACCATACATTGTCCAGGTGTTTGAGAAACTCCTTTCAAGATACTTTTAAGGAATATACTGCTTTGCACATTGCTTCTGTCTTAGTGTTCTGTTCCTGAGAAGAGCTGCCATAACCATGACAACTCTTATACAAGAAAGAATTTAATTGTGACTTGCTTAGAGTTTCAGAGATTTATTCCATTATTGTCTTTGTGGGGAACCTGGCAATGTGCAGGTAGACGTGGTGGTGGTGAAGTTGAAAGTTATTTCTACATCTGAATCCACAAGCTACAGGAAGAGAGTCACTGGGCCTGGATTGGGCTTTTGAAATGTCAAAGCCCCCCTCCATAGACCTGCTTTGTCCAACAAGACCACACCTATTCCAACAAGGCAACACTTCCTAATCCTTCTAAGTAGTGATAGTCCCCAGTGACTAAGCATTCAAACCTGTGAACCTCTCGGAGCCGTTCTTAATCAAACTACTACAGGTTCTTTATATATTCATTAGGTTTTATCTTTCTATTTTTTTTCTGAGTTCTGTACAATTTCAGTGAATATTTATATTAGTATGATTTGGTTTGATTTGGAAAATTAACACTTTTCTAGTATTGAAATTGAGAAATTAAGAGCTAGATTTGGCATCCATACCTGTAATCTCAGTACTGAGGAGGTTGAGTTGAGATTGCTGTAAATTTGAGTTCAGCTTCAGTTACAAAGCAAGACCCTGTGTGTATGAGGGTGGGGTGAGTGGGGCGGGGGTGGGGTGGTGATAGTGGGAGGTGTAAGCAAAAGGAAACAAAAACCCTAAACACACAAGGAATGTAGAAACTTTGTGACTGTTCCAACTTGCTTTTTCCTAGTATGGGTTTTGAGTGTTATTTTGGGAGAAGGAATTGATTATATGCATATGAAAATGTCTTTGCTTATAGTTATCACTATAAGCAATTAGTCTTTGTAAGATCAAAGTAACTTTTTGAGTTTTTTTGTGGGTATGTCATTAGTTTATAATATTAGAAAGAATAGAATACTATGAAAAAATCTGATGAAATTTCCTTCTGAGAAATGTGATCAGAGTATACACATTATGTACATCTTTACACACTACTTGAAACAGGAAGAGAAAGGTATTAAGAGTTTGAGTCTGAACTGTCCCCACATGACCTGAGCCGGTAGAGCATGTTGAAACTAAGAGGTGAGGCTTGGTTGAAGGAAGTAGGGCTGGGGTAGGTCCTTAACTGTGTCTTGTTCCTGGCATCTTCCTGTCTGTGTCCTGTGTACTGTGACATGAGCTGCCTTGCCATGTTTTCTCTAATGTTGCTTACTGAGTCTTATTGATGCCTTTGAAGATGTTTAGTCACAGCACCAGAAGAGTAACCAATTCACAGAAACCTGAGTTCAATCCATAACACTAGATAAACCCTAAGGTTGTGATGGGGCACACCTGGAATCCCAACACTTGTCTCCTGCTTGCAACCCCAGTACTGAAGGTGGAGGCTCACCTCAAATGAATAGGACCCTGTATCTAAATAAAGAAATAAATGCACAACTAGAAAGTAGGCGTTGTGGATCATGTTTTTAATCCTAGCACTCAGGATTGCTGGGAGTTTGAGGACTGCCAGGGTTGCATAGTTTCAGGACAGTCTGAGCTGCAGTGTGTGATCCTGCTTGAAAAACAGACAGACAGACAGACAGACACATACAAACAAATAGAAGAATACTAGATATACTTATCTCATTTCTTTTCTTTTTTTATTTTCGAGACAGGGTTTCTCTGTAGCTTTGGTGACCATCTCGGAACTAGCTCTTGTAGACCAGGCTGGCCTCGAACTCCCAAAGATCCGCCTGTCTCTGCCTCCCGAGTGCTGGGATTAAAGGTGTGCGCCCGGCTACTTATCTCATTTCTATATTTAGCGATCAGTAACTGATAAAAGGGGCTTTTGGGATGATACTGTGACTTTTAATATTTTCACATGGATATAATACCTAATTTTGTTGAATTTAATGAGATACAGTAACATTAAACAATACTATTCACTTTTGTGTTTTATAGTGTTACAAATATATATATATATATATATATATATATGCCTAGAAATAGCACCATGGTCTTTAGTTTGAGGCTTTGTTTTACCTGGTTTGGACTTGTAAATTGTTTAATGATTATTCAAGCTGTAGGTTTCTAAGGGTTCAGATTCCTTTAGAGTCTTAGTTTATCTCCTTGCTTGTCTTTGAGTATCTTTAAATACTCAGATAGGATATGCATCTTTTGATCCTTTCAGTTACAGTACACTGTTACTGGAGTATTAGTGTAGCTGTAAAAGGTGATGGAGGATAGTAGTCTGTGATCATAAAATTAAAATTTCAGTTTTTCAGTGGGCATAAGATGAAATCTAAATTTTGCTGCTCTTTCAACTGTAGCTCACAACATCTGTGTCTTTTGGGGGAAGAGATATGTGAGGTGGCCTTCATTTTGTCTTCCTGAAGTATTGTGACTGACAGTGTTCTTATTCTCCATCCTACTTTTCATCTTCCTGGCCTTTCTGGCCTTAAGCAGAGCAGTCTGCTATCTCAGTTACAGCCTCCTAAATTCTTTAAGCTTTTTCCTGGTTTTATCAGTTATGCGTGCTCTCTGCCTTGTCTTTACCTCTAGTAGAAATTCTGTCTAAGACTCATTTACAAACTAAATAAAAAATGACTTCACTGGGTGGTGGTGGCTCATGCCTTTAATCGCTGTGAGTTTGTTTGAAGCCAACCTGGTCTACAAAGCAAGTTCCAGGACAGCCCGAGCTGTTACACAATGAAATGTTGTTTTTTGAGAAAAACAAAAACCAAACAAAGAAATTGACATGAATCGCATAACAAATCTGGGGTGTTGCAGATAAAATTGGGCTTGGTTAGGGTAGCAGCTTGATAAATTTGCTCAGATTCCTGTCTTTTCTGCTTTAATCATATCTTTTTTTTTCTCAGACTGGAGCAATTTTGGGTGTTACTTGTATGTGTTTAGAGACTTTCACTTGTTGTATTTAGAGAGCTTTCACTTTATTGTCCAGACTGGCCTCAAGGTCGTATTCCTCTTGCCTCACTGTTCTGGGTGGTGGATTTATAGGCGCATATCACTGTGCCTGGCCCTTGTGTTTTTGTGTGTTTGTGATTGAACCAGAACCTCCTGCATAATAACCAGACACTACAACTGAGCTATACTCCTACCTGTGTTTTTGCTTTTTAAGCCAAATGAAAAGGAAAGTCAGAATCCTGAGTGTGATTGGGCAGAATTAGAATGATTATGAATAAATTATCTCTAAACTTTTTTCTCTTACCAACAGCTTGATACACGAGCTTTAATCAGTCCTCTTTTAAGCAAGATTTCCCAGATGACTCGGTTAGACTTCGTGCTTGAGAAACGCAGATAGAGACTAGTCAAGATCTAACCTGGCCTGTGAGAAACTTTGTAAAGCTCAGGGTTTCAGACTATCTAAATAAAATTAAGGATCTGTAAGAAATTGGAGGGCTAGTGGTGGCTGCTGTTGTTTTGGAGTGTTCCTTTTTAATATTTTTTGTTGAATGTTTATTTTTTCTTAAGGTTGTAGGTGGAAGAAAATATGGCTATTGCTGGTAATCTGCCATCTTGTATAAGGAATCTGTTCTGCTTTTTAAAATTGAACTTTAAGTGGGTGGTAGTGGGGCGGTGGTGGTACATGTTTTTAATCCCAGCATTCAGGAGGCAGAGGCAGGCAGATCTCCATGAGTTCAAGGGCAGTCTGGTCTATAAGAGCTAGTGTCTCAGTGAGACTACAGTGAGGATATTCACAGGTTTGGGTTCTCACCAGGGGTTTTGTGGATGGATTGTTTCTAAACTCCTGTGATTGTTGCCATCATTCCCAAGTCTTTTGCCTTATACAACTTAAACCATTTTTATCAGTCTTTTTTTTTTTTTTTTTTTTTTTGTCTTGTGGCTTTATCACCTTTACTCTATACTGACTGTCTTGCTTCCTCTCCATTTGGCTGCATCTCTGCCCTTCTTCCCAGTGTCCTCTCCGCCCTGAAAATCCTGCCTAGCTATTGGCTGTTGAGCTTTTTATTAGACCAGTCCAAGTGACAAATCTTCACAGTGTACAAAAAAGATTATTCTACAGTAATGTACTATATTCTATGTTTAGATGATTAAGGACTTTCCTGTGGTGTGACAAGCCTTTATCTTTGCAGTATTAGTTGTTGTTACACAGATTCTATAGCCGAAAGATTGTTAATACGGTTTATAGTAATTTTGTAAATTGGATTTTAGACATTTTTTTCTCCTTTTTTAGTTGACTATATGGTGGAGTATGACTATGATGCTGTACATGATGATGAATTAAGTATTCGAGTTGGGGAAATCATCAGAAATGTGAAAAAACTACAGGAAGAAGGATGGTTGGAAGGAGAACTAAATGGGAGAAGAGGGATGTTCCCTGATAATTTCGTTAAGGTAAGTATTTTCAGTTTAATTTCTTGCTTTTGCTTCACAGTATTACTTCTGTATGTCAAATGGATATATAGTTTGAAATGAAAATACTTTAAAGCTATCCTTGACATTTAGAAAAGCACAGGTACAGATACATCTGTAATAGATTTTACTATTGATTGGTAGCCTGCTGTACAGTAATGCTGTGTGTGTGTAAGTGTATCTTTGTGTTTGTTTATGTTTGTATGCATGTATCTACCAGCCTGTCTTTCCTTTTTTTTTTTAAACCATAGATAATAGTTTTCAGTTGGGTTGCACTTCGAGGTGGTGTCTTAGACTTGTCCCACAAGTCTTCCATTTTTTTGTTTTGTTTTTTGTTGCTTTTCTATAAGATTTATTAGATATATCTTTGCAAATATTTTTTGTGGCATATTTTCTTTTGATATGTTTCCACCCCTCTTCCTCTTTGTGTGTGTGTAAAAGGTATACAGAATTTATTAGAGTAGAAGGTATAGCACACTTGGAAGGGGTGACCTTGGACATTGATGCAAGAGACCATTGTAGCAGTGGATGAGAATGAACAGTGTCCAAGGAGAGTATGTATCCATCCATATTTTAGGCAGACTTTATACCATCTCTAAAATTTCTATAGCAGACAGCTTTCCCAAGGAGTATTTTCGAGTTCAAGTGATTAACAGCTGCCACCCCCCCCCCTTTTATTTTGAGACGGGGTTTTGCTATGTAGCCCTGGTGGCCTTGAAATCACAAATCTGCCTGCCCCTGCCTCACTCCCTATTTCCAGGATTTAAAGGCTTGCCACCAAGCTTGGTTAAATTGACTATTGTATTTGAGATTAGGTCTCACTTTGTAGCTCTGGTTGACCTTGAATTCACTATGTAGCCCAGTCTAGACTTGAACTCACAGAGATTTACCTGACTCTGCCTCCTTAATGCTGTAATGGATTGACTGAGGAAGGGACAATGGTGTGCCCTTATATATAACTTGAAAGCCTTCATTGAGGTAGTAATCTCAGTACTTAGTTTTATCATCTTCTATTTTCACCAAGGACCACTGCTGTTTCAGATTCCATTTATTTGACCAGTAATTGTAGTACTGCAGTTTAGTACTTGGCTGTATAGGCTGCTGATTATGAGGGAATGGTCAATCCTTAGTGACATCTAAACTTGCTAATATCTAACTAGCTACAATCTTTCCTCAAGAGGTGAGACCCAGGCTAGTGAGATGGTGTAGTGGTTAGAAGTGCTTCTTGTAGAAGCTGACAACCTGGGTTTGATCCTTGAACCCATGTTTTTTTTTTTTAAATGGATTAGGTTGCTTGTATCAGGGAAAATGGGACGTGGAGGTAGGGGAATTGCCTGGAAAGTTGTGGGCAGACCAGCCAGCCTGTCAGTAACAAGAGAGACCCTACCTCTGCCGGGGGAAAAAGAGAGAACCGACTCATGGAAGTTGTCCCTGACCTCCATGACATCATGCGTGTGTGCACACACACTCTAATAGTAGTAATAGGAATAAAGGATCCGAGACCTCAGAATAACTGTGGAGATGTGAATCATCTTGATCTGGCTACTTCTGGCTGAAGTGAGGCATAGAAGAGTATAGAGATTTGCTATCTTAGACCTTGAACAGCAGTCAAGGTCACACCCAGATATATGGAGTTTGACCACTGCAGAGGAACTGAGACTTCTAGGTTTACCTGAGGCTTCATCCCATTTGTTGTGATTATTTTGTTGGAGGCCACCTCATTCAGGGGCTGCATCAGGGGCTGTCTTCTGAGAGTCTTTTGATCCTGAGGGCAGTAAACCCTCTAGCATCATGTCACATTGAGGACAAGAAGTCTTAGTAGTACACTACTAAGTATTTGGACACTTTCTCTTCAGTGATCTGAATGCTTACAGTTTTAACATTGATGTATCAGTGTGTGTCCCCTTACAGAGAGTCAGTGGAAGATCTTATTAACCAGTATAGCTACGAGAAGTTCTGTATGCCCTTCATTCCCATAGTCTCTCCCTGTCTTATATATTAACCTCCTTTGTCCTAAATTTTCTTCTTCTTGTAGGTGCTGGTTATAGAAACAGAATTTACTATCTTCTGTAGGTTATTAATAGTGATCTCAGATCTCACTGGTAGTATTTGTAATTATGTTCTAATGCCAAGGGCAGACTGAGTAAGAAAAATCTGTCTTGGAAAAGAATTTAGCCTTCAAAGGACTGGAGATTTCTTGGGAATGTGCTTCTTAAGGTTTTCTAAAACAGTAGTAGGTTTTCAGTAGTTAGTAATTGTTGGTTATTGGTTGTATTTCTCTACTATCTAACTTAAATTGTTTGCTTATACCGTATAATTCTGGGTGATTTTTTTTTTTTTGAAAATTTAAATTTCACTTATTTATTTAATTTACTGTTTTTTGAGGCAAGATTTCTCTGTGTAGCCATGGCTGTCCTCGAACTCACTCTGTAGATCAGGCTGGCCTGCTTCTGCCTTTTGAGTTCTGAGACCAAAGGCCAGAGCCACCACTGCCCAACTTAAATTTCACTTTTATTTATGTGTACATGTGTGTGTGTATGAAGTCCCCACAGAGGTCAGATGAGGGAGTCAGATCCCTGGGGAGCTGATAATTGATAGCCCCACCTGATTTGGGTGCTAGGAACTAAACTGAAGAGCAGGAAACATTTACATTGACATATCTCTCCAGCAGTAAATCACAAAGGAGGTATCAAAGTTTCTCAGTCAAGTTAACTTCTGTCAAGGCTTTGGGTTCAAATGTATCCAAATTATGAAGGATACATCTCGGAGGAATCAATAGCAACTGAAGAATTATCCACTTAAATACAGGAGATCATAAAGAAGACATCCTTTTTTTTTTTTTTTTTTTGAGCCTTACCAAAATAAAGTGAACAACTGGGGCATTGTCTTATTTGCTTCTAAATGTAAGAATCAGATGTAGCATGTATTATCCTATTCTGGAGTTGCTCCTAACTGGTGGGAATCAAGTTTTACCTTTATAATTTTTGTACATAGTGAAGGTATGATTGCCCCTCTCAGATATGGTATGATTTTTCCCCCTATAATACTCTGGAGAGTTATGGAGAAAATGTAAAAAGAAATAGTTGCTTATCCTGGCTACAGTGTATTGAAGGCTTATGTCCACAAGGGCCCCTTAAGCTAGTATATTATGAAAAATTAGCTGGATGATGGTGGCATATACCTTTATTCCCAGAACTCAGAAGGCAGAGGCAGGTGGGTCTCTGAGTTCAAGACCAGCCTGGTTTATAGAGTGAGTTCCAGTACAGTCAAGACTGTTACACAGAGAGACCCTGTCTCAAAAAACAACAACAAAAGGAAAATATATGACTTAAAATCAGAAGAACCTACTGTTTGTGTCTGGTGTTAGTGCTTTAATCTGGCTGGGTGGTGGTGGCACACACCTTTAATCCCAGCAATCAGGAGACAGAGGCAGGTGGATCTCTGTGAGTTCGAAGCCAGCATGGTGTATAGAGTGAGTTCCAGTACTGGCTTCATAGCTACTGAGAAACCCTGTCTTGGAACACCCCCCCCCCCAAAAAAAAAATAAAACTAAGTGCTTTAATCTGATAGGAAACTCATGGTAGTAGGGACACCCAAAATTTTATGAGTATAAGCCACTCCATTTTGAAAAAGGCGTCTAAGTTTGATTATATGTATATAGCAGGTAACAGAAGTGCAAGTGGACCAAGATTGAGTGACCTCAGACATATAGTCCTGAAAACAAGAAAGTGAGATTCTGTAGCTAAGAGAAGTGTATACATTGAGGAAACCTGTAAGTATAACAGATCAGGGAATCCCATGGTCTCAACCCTAGTAGGGAAGTCTATGACGTAACTATGATGATGAAGAAGGAAAAAGAAGAAATTCAGTTGCAACTTGATGGGAACACTAAAATATGTACCAGGATCTTGCCTTGGATTTTTCTTTAGCTCCCTAGTCCCTGTGATCTCTGTTGAAAGAATTCAGTCAAGACACAAGTAGTGCAGACAAAAGCTAGAGTTGACTGAAGTTTGAAGTGGAGCTTTATTATTGGGTAATTCTGTATTTAAGAATTATCCAGGGGCTGGAGAGATGGCTCAGAGGTTAAGAGCATTGCCTGCTCTTCCAAAGGTCATGAGTTCAATTCCCAGCAACCAAATGGTGGCTCACAACCATCTGTAATGGGGTCTGGTGCCCTCTTCTGGCCTGCAGACATACACACAGACATAAAATTGTATACATAATAAATAAATAAATATTAAAAAAAAGAATTATCTACCTTAAATAATAAAGTGAAAAAAATTTAAATAAAAAGAAAACTAGTAAGTAAAAAAAAAAGAATTATCCACTTAAATACAGGAGATCATAAAGAAGAAAGACATCCTTCTTTTGAGACTGTTGCTTAGTGAATGGCAGCGCCATCTGAGAGTTGTTCAAGTCAGGAATTTGGGTGTCATCTGAAGCTAATGAATTTTCAAGATTCTTAGTATTTTGAATATTTTCTGAACCTTCCAAACTTTGTTCTGTCATTAACTCAGGGAACATTCATTCATTGTCAGTTGTACCTACTTGCTGTAAGCTTGTTATACTGCACATGCTGATCTCTTGCATTGTGAAAATGTCCCACATTCTTTGTAGTATATTTCAGAGCCTTGTATCGTCAACCTTTTCACCACGTTCTTAGTCTTTATGACTCTTAAGAACTCTTCATATTCATGCTCCAGCTGTATGTAGTGTCACCTTGTCTTCCAGTCAGGTTGTTCATATTCTATCTTTTATGTTCCTTCCCTGTGCCTTGATGCCTGTTACTCACTTGTCACAGTAGAGTCAGTTCTAGCCTCCAACTGTGTGTGAGAGCTAAATTTAGGTTGTCAGGCTTGGTGGTTGGTGCCTTTACCCACTGAGTCATCTCACCAGCCCTGAGGTTACTTTGTGAAGTTACCCTGATTTGCCTTTCCATTGCTAAATTTATGTTAGGTAAACTAAAGTTTGTAATTTTGGATGGTGGGACAGAGGGTGATGGTGGACTGAGGCCACCTCTAGAGCTGCCTCTCATACGGAGTTTTTAGTCATTGAACATGGCATGACTTCATGTTTATGTGGTCTTTTGTTTCTTCTAGTAAAATTCATTACTCTTTCCCAAGATGATTCTTTTGGTTTTTGAAGATAGAGCTTCTTTATGTAACCATGGCTTTCCTGAAACTTGCTCTACCAGGCTGGCCTCAAACTTAAGAGATTTGTGCCTGCCTCTGCCTCCTGAGTGCTGGGGTGTGCTACCACCACCTGGCATTCATTTTATTATACCTGTAAATTAGAGCAGGGAGCCATAAAGTTAAAACCTGTAAGGTAGAATCTACATGTCACTGGCTTGTACAAGACCTGTGTTGTAAGGTTACTGGCTAAGATTTTTATGATTGGATGGGGGAAAATTAAGAGAATGTTAAATTATGTGTAAAATATGTGAAAATTAAAAGACGCTCCCTCCCCACTCCCCTGTATTCTTGGAAATAGAGTCTCACATAGTCATGTTGGCTTTGAACTCACTGTAGTCTCTTTGTACTAGAAGAGGACCTAAACTCCAGATTCTCTTGCCTCTTAACTCCCAAGGGCTGGGACTGCAAGTGTGGACCATCATGCCCAACTTAACTTATGTTCATGAATTCTTTTAGAATATGTCTGGGTTTAGTTATTTAGGTATGTAACTGCATTTGAATTACATATAACAGAACTGATATTAGAAAGAAATTATATGGCCTGGTAGCCATAAACATTTAGTATATAGTGCTTTGTAGAAAGAAGTTGTACACTCTGGACTTAAAACTATTGTGTTACTTGTTTATGTGTTTCAGGATTTTCTTGTGTATGTTAGTGAAGGTAGGTTGAAACTCTCCTTTACCCTTTCTCCAGTTTCAATAAGATGTAAATTTATACTATGTCATGCTTGGCAAATGATCTGCATTCTTCAGCTTAAAAATGAGTTATGTCATGATTTATTTAGTAATTATTGTAGCTATGTCTTGACATCTTAACATTTGAGAAGCAAAAAGTAGGGAAGCTAAGGTGGAAGTATTGCTGTGTATTCTAGGCTAGCCTTGGCTACATTAAAAAATACAGAAATATGTCTAAGAATGTAAATTGGTTAAGACACACCTAAGTATCTTTCTCTTTTACTGATTTCCCTTTTTATAGGAAATTAAGCGAGAGACGGAACCCAAGGATAACAATTTGCCCATCAAACGGGAAAGGCATGGAAATGTAGCCAGTCTTGTACAGCGAATCAGCACTTACGGACTTCCAGCTGGAGGAATTCAGCCACATCCACAAACCAAAACCCTTAAGAAGAGTATGTAAACAATTCCTTTCCTACTTAGTTATGACTGCTCATAAATTCAGGGAGATGTGTTCAGTCTTCTACAGCCAACTGCAGTAATTAATTTACTCTCATGAACTGATGATTGACACACATGATTTTTGTACTTGCTCATGTTGAGTCAGTAACATTGATAATCCAGCATGAGTAAGCTGGTAGCCATATACAGGAACTGTAAATGAAGATACCTTGCTTATCTCGTACTGTCTCTGAATGATTGACACATTGTTGTACATTGATTGTATTTAATAGTACTTACTAATTGTTGAGGTATCTGCTAGTCTGAAATGTTTTGATAAGTTTTTTTCTTTTTCGTTTGAAATAGTGTCTTTCCCGGTATCTTTTGTTGACTTCATATGTGATTCTCCTGTTCTGGAAAGTTTTTTGTTTATAAATAAGTTAGGGGAAAAATTGACCAAGAAAGAGTACCATATTTTATTGAAAAAAATTTTTTTTATTCATTATTTGTGTGGATGTTGAGTGCGGAGGCCAGGGGACATGTTGTAGAGTTTGTTCTCTCCCAGTTTTATATGGGTTGTAGGGATTGAGCCCAGGGTACCAGGCTTGAGCAACAAGCACTATTACTCACTGAATTATCTCCCCAGTCCTGCATATCTTATGTTTTGTTTTATTTTTGAGGTTGTAATTTAATTGCAACATTTCTCCCTTCCCTTTCTTGCTCCAAACCCTTCCATATACCCCTCCCGATTCCTTCAAATTCATGGTCTCTTTTTTCATTAATTGTTACTGCATGCATGTATGTATTTGCTTGTACATACATATTGCTAAATAGAACCTGCAGAGTTCACATAATACTACTTGTATGTATATTTTCAGGTCTGACCATTTGATACTAGACAACCCATTAGTGTGTTCTTCGCTGGGGAGGACTACCTCTCCTGCTCCCAGAATTACTCAGTTGCATGAGTAATTTGTGTAGGCTTGAGGCCACATGGGCTTTTTCCGATCTAGTTTGGCATGTTTGTTAGTATAATTCTTGTACAGCTCATGTTTGGGTGGTCATATTGATGAGACTTCATGTGTTCTGATATTAGTAGGCGACACAGTCTCCCAGTGAATTCCCTAATTCTAATTGGCTCTTATAATCTTCTTGTCTTCTATTCTGCAATGTTTCCAGAGCCTTAGGTTCTGGAGTGGTTTATATATGAATCCATAGGGAGTGGGCTCCACACTCTGCGTTTTGTTTGGTTGTGGTTTTCTGTAGTGGTCTTCATCTGTTGCAAAGAAGATTCTTTGATGAAAGGTGAAGATCACACTTACCTGTGGGTATTAAGACAGATGTTTATAGATTGTTGTTAGGGATTATGATTGTTTAGTAAATTCGTGGTTGTAGATCTCTTCCAAAAACCATGGTTTCATTAGTACTGAATAGTTAGGTTTCCAGTACCAGGCATGGTAATCCTCTAACTGAATGGGTTGTAAGCCCTTAGAAAGCTGTTGGTTGCCACCAAGGTATATGTGCCATTACTGTGTCCATAGGATTATTGTGCCAATTTACTTTAAATTTTAGAAACTTGATCTCTTTTATGACCTTAGCTCATTTAAATTTACTTAAGTTTTTTTAAACTTCAGTTAGGAAAAGAGAGGCAACAATGCCATTTAAAAATATGGAGCATTAAACATGTATAAACAATTATAGTCTTTATGACAATGGATACTAAAGGTTTTGTTATTTTAAAAATCCCATTAAACTCCATGTGGGACAGTTCAGTTTATTGGTATTTTTAAAAGTGCATATTCTGCATAATCTTTTTTTTTTTTTTGAGACAGGGTTTCTCTGTGTAATACTTGACTGTTCTAGAATTTACTTGTAGACCAGGCTGGCCTTGAACTCACAGAGATCCACTTTTGCTTCCCAAGTGCTGGCATTAAAGGTGTGTGCCCTCACTGCCTGGCAAAAATATATATTCTTCCACCCATCCACCCATCCACCCATCCATCCATCCATCCATCCATCCATCCATCCATCCATCCATCCATCCATCCTGTGTGTGTGAGCCATAGTGTGTATGTAGTCAGACAGCAATTGTAGGAGTTGATTTTTCTCTTTCTATTAGATGGATTCTGTAGATCAAGCTCAAGTTGTAGGGCTTGGAGCTATGGGCCTTTACCTGATGAGTCATTTTTGCCAGACCACAATTGTTTAAAGACTCTTACCTGAGATTGCGATTATAGTATCTTTGAAATTTTGGTCTGTAACTCCCTGTGGTATTAAATGATTGGCAATAAGGAAGTTTACCCTTTGAACTGTAAATGTAAGGACGTTACTAGTTTTCATATAGGCCCCCTATTATCACAGTGTATTATTTTCCATGTCAGTATAGCACAGGGTTATATCAGAAAACATTTTGTGAAGAAAAAGTGTTTTGTTTTTTTTTTTTTGTTTTGTTTTTTTTTTGAGGCAGGGTTTCTCTGTGTAGCTCTGGCTGTCCTGGAACTTGTTCCATAGACCAGGCTGGCCTTGAACTCAGAGATCTGCCTGCTTTTTTTTAACCAGTTCCTGGGATTAAAAGTATGCGCTGCCCTTGCTGGCTCAATGAAGTTTTCTTGATACTAAGACCAATTAAAGGTTTTTTTTTAACTTTTTTTTATTCATTGTGTTCCAGAAAATGTGATAGTCAAGTAATATTTGTCCATCCCCATCCTACTTTCAACTGGACAGTCTTAGCCATTTTAGTGGTCCTGGACTGCACTTTCTGGAGACTAGCCACGTAGTAGAGATGTATAGCACAGAGTTGCACCTTTGTATGCAGTTTCTGTGTTCTGAGAATTTCCAGATCATTGAAAGAGTTATTTATGATCTCTGTCCATTATTAACAGCCTACATTTTAATTCTGCGGCACTGTAAAGAGACAGCATATGAGCTGAGAACTAATATCTTCAACTGCAGGCGTGAAGCAGAGACATTTAACTGGAATTGGGGTGAGCCCTTACTCCCAACATGCTTCCTGCAGTAAGGCCACACCTCCCAAACCTACCCAAATAGTACCATGTGCTAGAAACCAATTCTTCAAATACTCAAGCCTAGGGGGTAGTTCTCATTCAAACTACCATAGTTTCTCTCAGTTTTGGTATAAGTAATAGAGAAAGAGTACATACACAGAACACAGGTGAAATCTATGTCCAGAAAAACTTCTGGACACAGGTGACCTACCTAAATTCAAGAAAATATAAAAAAGAAATCCAGGTAATTTACCAACGAAGAAAAAAGCTTGGGGCCAGAAGAGTCTGCACTGTTAAATGTAATCAAACATTTAAAGAAATAACACCAATGTTTCTCAAGCAATTCCATATAATTGAGAGGGAGGGAACCCTTCCAAATTGATTCTGTAAGGTCAACGTTATTTTGGTCCCAAAAGCCAACAGAGCAAAACAAAGAAGAAATACTCCCCAATGTCTTTGAATGCAAAATTATGCAAAATTCTAGCAAGTTCAAATTAACAGGCGTGCCACAGATTGCACGGCAAATTTCCTTCCAAAGATGCAAAGATGTTTTTATCTTCTACAAATCAATAAGCATAAATAGAATGAGAGACAAAAATCGTATTATCATCCCAATAGATGGAGAGGAAACATTGGGTAAAACTCAGCATCCCTTCATGGTCTGCACAAGGTAGGTACAGAAGACTCATACCACATTGTGCTGCAGGCTATATTCATAGTCAGTGTACTGAATGTGAAAGACTGAAAGCATTTCCTGTAAGGTCAGGAACAGGTCAAGGGTGATAAGACTTTCGTGGTCAGGAATGGAGGGCTTTTCATGGTTTTTTGTATATATAGTGATAGAAGTGTAGCTAGAGCTATTAGGTTAGAGAGAGAGAAATACCAGACATATGAGCAAGAAAGGAGAAAGTCAGATTATCCCTGCTTTCATATTATGACATAAAAAAATCTAGAGAAAAAGCAAGACAACATACAAAAATTAGTAATTCTGTAATTCAGTAGTTGGGGATGGATTAGAAGTTTAAGGTTATTTTTGACTATGAAGCAAGTTGGAGGGTATTGTAGGACAAATGAGACTTTGCCAAGTCTGATAGCCTGAGGCTGATATCTGAGACTCACACAGTAGGAGAAATGACTTCCATATGTTGTCACATGCATTCTATGGCATCCCCTCCCATACATAAAAAGTAAAGAAAAATGCTTAGTATGCAAAACTATATCATACCAAAGTAATTCTAAACTATAGCAAGTTACCATTTTATCCTATTTATAATGTCTGTTAAAAAAACCATGAAAACATGGAAAAAAGGAGGACGTGTACACTGTTGGTGTTATGTAAATTAGTCCAGCTGTTTTGAGAGTGGCAGTTTCTCAAAAAGCTAAAAATAATCCCAGCACTGAGAGGCAGAAACAGGAGGATCCTGAGGTCAAGGTAAATCTGGATTTCAACTAGGAACCTGTCACAGATAATAAATAATAGTACCATAAATCCAGCTATATTCTTAGACAGTGTATCTGAAAGAATCGGAACAGCTGTGCAAAAATAGATACACTTGTATTTAAGCAGCACCATTCCCAATAGCAAAGTTACATACTTCCCAGGGTAAGTGGGATAAAGATAATAACACATTAACCATATAATGGTATATTATTTGATCCAAAAATAAGAATGAAATCCTAGCTGGGCAGTGATGGCACATGTCTTTAATCCCAGAACTCAGCAGGCAGATCTCTGTGAGTTCGAGGCCAGCCTGATCTACAAGAGCTAGTTCCAGCTAGTTCCAAGTCAGGCTCCAAAGCTACAGAAAAACCCTCTCAAAAAACCAAAAATCAAACCAAATCAAAATAAAAATCCTGCCATATGTAGCAAAACAGACTTGAAAGTAGAATAGAAAAAAGGATTATTGGGGTCTGGGATGGGTGTGGACTAAAGACGTAGTCACTGTACATCTCTCCAAACAATGTGGGCAGTTATGATGCTAAGTAAAACGTTTGACAGTATAACATGTAAAAGTGGTGAGAGGCAAATGCCTGACATTAAAATATATTTCAGCTTCCTTAATAACTCATTCTCGTTAGATGTAAACACATAGGTAAAAATAAAATTTTACTTTAGGTTTTTAAATCAGTTTTATTTGGAGATGATCATAAATAATGATACAAGTTTGTTTTTCCAACTCTAAGGGGAAAAAGGTTGAGGCAGGAAGATGGTAAGTTCAATGGCAGTCAGGTGGGATTTAGGATGAAATAAAATGGTCAAATGAATATATGAAATTGTGGTTGGCAGTTTGACTCACTGGGTAAAGGTGCATGCATCAAGCTTGAATTAAGAATTCAGTTGCTTGTAGTTAGTTAAATACTATTTTTTAATTTCAAAGTCTGTTTTCTCAAATAAGCAGAAAAGTGCTACTGGAAGCTTGTTAGAAATGTTATATTATTGTATTATGGGCTCTAAAATATTAGGATTTCTACAGAAAATACTGTAGCTGGGTAGTGAAAAAGAGGGATTTATGATGCTTTCCTAATGTTTGAAGATTACATGGCCAATAAGAAAGATATTTAAATAGTGCTTTGCCAGGCAAGTAAAAATGGCATAGCTGCCGTTTGGTCTGCCTCAGTGTGCAGGTTAGGGCAGGGGAGACACAGCTTTGTCCCCTTCCTTAGCTAACTTGCAGAAAGGGCATGTATTTGTCTAAAAAGGGAAATATAAGCATCTACCTGGAGATCTAGCCGGTAGATTTTTTTTTATTGCAATGAAATGTATTTGTCCTAAAATGCATCTATATTAAAGGATATTTAAAACTTGGTGTAAGTCCTTCATAGCTACAAAACTCAAGAAACAAATCATTTCAGTTACTAAAAAATATCATCATGTATACTTTTACAATCAACCCTCTTTTCACACCAGTTATGGGAAACCACCACTACAGGTTGTATAGTGTATTGTGTTTTGGTGTGGAGGTCCTTCTGTATATGTGTTGACTTAATTGGTTAGTGAATAAAGAAACTGCTTTGGGACTATAGCAGGGAAGAACAGAGCTAGGTGGGGAAAACTAAACTGAATTCTAAGAGGAAGAAGGCAGAGCAGAAGAAGCCGTGGAGCTACCATCAGAAACATTGGCCAGAACATTGCTGGTAGGCCACGAGCCTCATGGTAAAATATAAAATAATAGAAATGGGTTAACCAAAGATATAAGAGCTAGCTAGCAATATGCTTAAGTGATTTAGCCGGTAGATTTTTAAAGAAAAAGCTGACTTGACTTTTTAAAGTTCGGAGATGGACTGTCATCTCTTTCAAATCAACATCACTTTCAAATTTTTATTACATTTGTTTACTTACATGTGTGACACAGCACATATGTAGAGGCCAGAAGAGTTACTTCCTTCCTTACTTACACTGTGTCATTTCCAGATATCAGACTCTGGTTGCCAGGCTTTGGTGGCAAGTACTTTTACTTGCTGGGCCATCTTGATGGCCCCAGCATCACTGATTTTCAAAGAAAAAAAGCAAGAGAGTCAACCCTGAGGATGGATCCATCTGCCCAATACAGGAGAGAATGGGATTTGTATCCATTGCCCAAAGCCATTAATGGCTAACATGCATTGAAGGAGGAGGAGGTGCTGAGACAAGGGTCTACTCCAGTTTTTTCTAGTTCTGTCTTGAGAAAATCTATACACTTCCACTTCTCTCTTCTGGTTTGTGACTGGATGATCTGTGCATTCATGACAGTGAGGTGTTGAAATCATCCCTGCTTTTACTGTATTAAAGCCTATTTCATTTGTTGCCCCCCCTGGTTCTTACTGTTTGTTTAGTTTGAGACAGATCTTAAGTACCCTAGCCTAACTTTGAACTCCTGATCCTCCAGTCACTCACCAAACCTACCACACTTGTCTGGCTTTCAGGGTTTCTGTTGATAATTAGTCCAATAGGATTATCCTTAAATGTGATCTCTTGTGGGTTTTAAGTCTTTCTGGTGCTTTTGACAGGTTGACTATCATACATTGTAGAGAGGATCTTCTCTGGCTGTTGGGGGTCATATAATAATCCTGTCCCTGAGCTGGGCAGTGGTAGCACACACCTTTAATCCTAGCACTTGGGAGGCAGAGGCAGGCGGATTTCTGTGAGTTCAAGACCAGCCTGATCTACAAGAGCTAGTTCCAGGACAGGCTCCAAAACTATAGAGAAACCCTATCTCAGAGGTGGGTGGGGGGACCCAGAAAACAAACAAACGAACAAAATCCTGTCCTTGATGGTGCATGCCTTTCCCAAAATTAGAGAAAATTTCTGTTTTCATTTGTCCTTATTAAAATTTTGAGTATGTTGATGACACACATATTTGATCTTTTAATGATATCCTCCAATCTTTCATGTCCTTTTCATTCTTATTTTTATACAAATATGTTATTTCCAAAAAGATGTCCTCAAGCTCTCATATTATTTCTTTTTCCTTAATTAAGTCTGCTGTTGAAGTTTTTGGATGGATTCTGTTTTATTCAATGAGCATCATTTCCTAGATTTCATATTAGTTCTTTTTCAAAATCTCTCTTTGATTTTCTTAATCATATATTGCCTTGTTTTTCCAAGTCTTTTAATTAATCATTCTATTTATGTTTCTTTGGATCTCATTAAGCTTTAAAACAACAACATACTATCTTAAATTTTTTAATCTTGAATTTCATCTTGTTCAGCATATTTAGCTTTTTTAAAGAATGTAATACTTTGTCTTTTTCATATATTTTTAAATTTATTTCTACTAAGATTTGCATGTCTAGTAAAATGAGTATCTCCTCAATTTCATTGGAGGTAAAATCTTAGGGGTAATAATGTGTTATGGAGAATTGAGTTTATTTCTGTTTACTATAATACAGTCACTTTACTTCTGAGAGTTTCTTTGAGTTTGATTATTGAGGTTGGGCATAACCCATGCTTAGTATGGAGTTGGAGAGACCCACTTCTGCTGGTGACACAGGAGTAGAGAGGCTGTAGCAGGCCTGGCCTTGTGTGGTAGAGTACTTGTGTACTAACTCTTACCTACAGTTGGAAACGTAGTCTCTAGGTCATGGAGGTTTCCTCAGGCATGTTTATACTGCCTCTTTTATTTGAATATGTAGTTGTAGTAAGCATGTAATGTCCAAAACATTTGTTCTTTGAGTAGGCAGTGGGTACAAGTCCATTGGTCTTCTAGGATGGTTAGAACAGAAATCACAACACTTCCGCTGTGCGTCTTAACAGGAGTGTGTGATTGTACAAGATTATTGTGAAGACTGATACAGAGGACACATGTAGTTGTAATGGAAGCAGAAATATTATTCTTCTGTTCTGCTGTGCTGCTGTAGGCATACCTGTCCAAGAGTGGGACCTTAGGTCTCCTCCCCTAGTGTGCATGCTTGCTTGGGATGGGCTTTTCTTCTTCTGAAAAATCAATATCTACCAGGGATAGTGCTGGAATGGTTGCAACTGGACCTGTGCAAAATTCCTCTTAGTTCTAAATACAGAGGACAAATCCAGACACAGTTTCTCTGTGGACCAGTTGGGTAGCATTATGAAGGTGCAAGGACATTGCTTGAAACTGACCCCAGAACACCTATGTGTGTTGAGAAAACAGTCTAGGAGCCCTTTTCTTCATCTTGTCAGAGTTAGGAACTTCTGTGTGGAACTGAGAGCTGAGCAGGATCTACTTGTGGCAAACTATATACCCTTATATCAGTTGGTGGGCTCGCTAATAATTTGTCTTTTGTGGCTATTACCTTCACTCCACTCTGCATCCCTTATACTGAATTCTCAGGATAGGTCTGTTGGTGCATTTGTGTCAGTGTCTTTCCACTGAGTTAAGTCTGCCCATATGAAACATGGCAGTCCGGATTCAATAATCTATTCTCAAGAAGCCTCCGGGTTACAACATCCTGGGGAATTGCTGGATGAAATCCTTTTTCTAAATCTACACTAGTGGATAGATTCAGATTCTCTTTAGAATGTAAGCTTTCAGGGTTATAAAACTTCCAAGTAGGTAGGAATGTGCTGATAGTTTTCTGATTTTATTTCTACTTTTATATCAGAAGGGAAAGGGTTCCAAGCTGCTGAGCTAGGAACCTGGGTGTTAGAGTAGTTTTTCTTTTACTATGCAGCTGTCTCAAGGCTCGGGACTTTTTTTTTTTTCCTGTGGTTGAATGCCAGTTTTTCATCTCAACGTGCATCTGTACATCTGTTACCTGTTGCCAGCCTGCTTTCTCCCTCTTTCTTTCTTTTTCCCCTCCCCCTCTTTATTCTCTGGAAGGAGCGAGTGAGTGCTGGGTACTTCTGCTCAGCCATCTTGTCTTCCCTTCGACAGGCACTTAAAGTAGCACATTTTAAATATTCCTAGGCCTTGATTAAGAAGTCATCTGAAAATTACCACTGGGAGGGACTTGCCTACAATAATTTTATTGTCAAAATGTCTTTATAGTCTTAAAAGTTGTGGATATTTTGCTTGTGTGTAATTGAAGGGATCAGGTGTACCCGTTTTCTATACTGGAACCCTTACACTTTATCTGGAGGTGAACATGTTATGTTGTGTGAGACATGTTTAAAAATCACCCAGGCTGTTTGTGATTGCTTGTTTAAATTGTTTTTCTTTTTTACACACTTGTAACTATAATTGTGGTATATGAATAAAGGTGCTAGTTAAAAAATGATCTTTTTAACATATTTTTTAAAATGATTTCTTCTAGAGACAAAAAAGCGTCAGTGTAAAGTTCTTTTTGACTACCTTCCACAAAATGAGGATGAACTGGTACTGACAGTGGGGGATATCATTGATATTAACGAAGAGGTAAGGACCAGAAGGACTTTGTACATTCGCAGTAGCACAGCAGTTACGTGGTGTGGCTTCTAGAAGAGGGCTTTGTCAGATTATTAAAATTTATAAAAATTTTTGCCCGTTTTCAATACAATTTAAAGATAGTCCTTGTTACTTGTGCTTGCTATGTCCTGTTTGTGTATTTCTCTTAATAAAAATAAACATTTTTTAAGCTTAAAATTAATGTAATTTTCTTTTGGCAAGAAGCTCACCCAAGCCTGGCTACCTGAGTTCCATCCTTGTAACCCATATAAAGGTGGAAAGGAGAACTGACTCTGCAGAGTTGCCCCTGACTTCTGCAGGCACATTACATGCTCACACCCATACTCACGTTGTGCCCACATACCATTATAATAATGCTAAAAAGTAAAATTAATGTTATTTTAATAGTCCCAAACACCAGAGAGCCTCATCTTAATTCTCTGTTGGCACAAAACAATAACAAATACTTCTTTTTTAATGATATAGGAGTGCAATGCAGAAATTGCTTTAAAGTCTGTCTTGTTTGAATTGTTGTATTTAAATTCTAGCCAAGTATGCTTTTTTCACAGTTTTAATACTTTAAGATATGAAAACATTTTTAATTTCTTACATCTGCTTTTCTCATTAAAGGAGTATTTAAAGTTTTGCTGGCCAGTGAAGATGCTATTTTAGAGAGTGCTTTGATAAAATGTATTGTAGCAGGAATTGATTTTGTGTCATGATTTCTCATTTATCACTGGTATCTACAATAACTTCGAGAATACCTATACAAGAGGCCGTCTGATCTCTGTCTGACGGCCACACCAGTTAATGTTTATTTGGAAGTACTGTGCTAAATAAGTTTGGCATTTTCTTCCTTTATAACAGAAGGGGTTATTTATCTTAATTTCTCAGAGGTAGAGACTGAGTCATAGAGAACCACATTGCTTATAGTTGTTACTCGTGATGCAGAAGAAGCTTCCCCAAAATTAGTGGCAAAAACAACTGTTATGCTTGTGGGTTGTGTGGCTCAGGTATGCAGATAGACCACAAGGGATTGGCTTGTCTGTTCCATGGTGTCTGGGACCTCAGCTGGACGGGTTCAGAAGTAAGGGGCTGGTGAGAGCCTTTGTAAGAAAGTCCCTCTATTTACACCTATGTCCTATAGCCTTGAAAACTAGAACTGCCACTTGGACAGCTTTCTAATGTCATTTCCATTTGGCTTGGATTTCTTAGAGGATGGGAGTGTCTGGAGATTCTGAAACCTTCTGACTACCCGCATAATAATCAAAAAGGTTCAGATTTTGGGTCGAGTTATTGTAAACACTCCATAGTCTGAAATCCAAAATGTTTTGAGTAGAGGGCACTTATTTTGATTTGCACAGCAGTTTCACAACTCAGAGTGCAACCAATTCAGCATACATGGGGAAGTGCCTTTTACAGTCTAGCCTTGGAAATGATAGCTACTTATAAACCACTTAGAAACTGTCAGGAGTAAAACCATCTTCATTTAGCTTCATATGTGCCTGACATGTAGTGGCCTGAATTTGATTGTGTGTAATTTGCCATCTTGTTGTGACTGTCTGGAACAGCTTCCTACTCCCCCCTTTCCGCCCCCCATGGAGGAGTTGAACTCAGGACTCTGTGTATAGTGGACCCTTGGTTTTTAGCTAGGGTCTGACCATGTATTTCCAGCTGGCCTCAAACTTGTAGTCTTCTTTTTCACCTCCTGAGCACTGGAATTACAGGCATGTGTCTGCAGGCTCAACTGCAGTCTGTTTTTAAATGATTGTTTGCTTTGTATTTGTTTTTATTTGTGTTTCTTAGAGACAAATAAGGGTCTCAAAGCTCAGTCTGGCCTTAACTGTTGGTTTTCCTGCCTCAGCCTCCTCAGTGCTGGGATTACAGGTATGGTTACTATGCCCAGATCATTATTGCTATGCTTGAATGAGTGTTCACTGCCACTTTCCCCAAGAATTCCTTAAATAACTTTTAACAAGTTGCTGATATTTGGAGTTTAATACTGATGTTTTTTTTTTACTTTGTGGCTGTTCCATTTTGTCATATTTAATTCCATACCACACACATAGCTCCTATATTTTCAATCCTTTACCTTAGTTTCTTTTTTCCCTTTCTTTCTTTTCTCTTTCTTTGAGGCAGGGTCTCACTCTGTAGCCCACTTCTTTGAACTTAAAATTTAGCCTGGTCTGGCCTTACACTCAAAGCAACTCTCCTGCCCTATTCCCTGAGTGCTGTGGTCAGACACGAGTCTTCATGCTCAGTTTCATTTGCCTTCGGTCTGCTAAAACCTCGGAACTCTTCATGCTTGCTGCTTTACTTTGCCATCCCAAGCATACTGTATCTGGCTATTAGTAGTTCAGCTATATTGTCTGTAACCATCATGAATTTTGATGTGACTTTTTTTGATGTTCTTTTTATCTAGAAGATTCTCATTTAGGCTTAGTGTTGAGTTTCTTGGTCATTGGCTTTTAGGAGAGAAGATTCTGATACTTTCCAGCTTATGCTCCCGTGCTTTTATTGCACTTTTTTCTCACTTTGATTACAGCACTTATTTTTACATTTCATTATTATTAGTTTACTTGTTTTTGTTTTGAGACAGGAACTCACTATGTAGTTTTGGCTGACTTAGAACTAAAAAAGGTCGACCTGTTTCTTTTTTCTGAGTGCTGGGATTAAAGGTGTGCCACCATGCCTAGCAGTTACATTCTAACTATGTGCTTACTGCTTTCTTAGATTGGTTTTTCAAGAGCATGGATTGCTGCAGTCTAATACTCTCCTAGGTTAGCTATTCAGCAAAGGCAAGGAAGGGATTTTTCATATGCAAGGTTTGAATCTTCTCCCAGCCAAAAATCATGGCTTGTATGTAAAGAGTGCCTATTACATTAATTATTAAAAATTTTGTTTTCAGGCTGGGAATGGTAGCACATGCCTTTAATCAGGAGGCTGAGCCAAGTGGATATTTGTGAGTTTGAGATCAGCCTGGTCTACTTAGTGAGTTTCAGGACAGTCAGAAAAATTTATGTAGAGATCAGTTTGCTTTCAGTTATAAGGTGGATAGCACTGAAAATGATTTATGTAAATGAGATATTTCTAGCTGTGATGTAAGGTTGATAAGTAAATGATGACAGCAGTGTACTCTACTGTTACTCTCTAAATCTCTTTAGTATCCTTTGTCCAACAACAGAAACTATACGTCTGAAAACAGTCAGCTGATTTTTTTTTAATAAATTGAGCAATCTTATTATTAATGAGTATAAAGGCTTTGTTAAAGATTTTTTAAAAAAATTCACTGGTGTTTTGCTGACTTGTATGTTATATCTATATGAGGGTGTCAGATCCCTTGGAACTGGAGTTATAGACAGTTGTGAGTTGCCATGTGGGAGCTGGGAATTGAACCTGAGTTCTCTGGAAGAGCATCCAGTGCTCTTCACTACTGAGCCATCTCTTCAGCTGTGTTAAAGAATTTGATTCATGAGAACATTTTTGTTTGGAGTAAGGTGCTTATTAAATGAATTTTGAGAGTGATTTTTTTCAGGGTTGGAGAGATGGGTCAGCATTTCAGAGTACTGGCTGTTCTTCTAGAGGACCCCAGCTCACGTCCCAGCATTCACATGGCAGCTCATATTATGGCAACTCCAGTTTCAGGGCTTCTGATGCCTTCTTATGGCCTCTGGGGCCACGGCATGCTTGCAGTACATATACCACCCATACACATAAAATACCCATACACATAAAATGGACAAAATAATAAACAAAACCAAAATATTTTTTTCAGTTTGCTTAATAATTATTGTTTAATTAAAAGGGGGAAATAAGATTTTATACATTTTAACACTCTTAGAAATGATTTTTACATTTGTTATTAAATTTATATTTAATTATATCTATGCGTGTGGGTCTGAGTGTAGGTATGTACATAAGTGTGCAGGTGCCTGAAGCGGCTTGAGGTTTGTGATCCCCAAGAGCTTGGATGTTGTGAGCTGTCTGACATGGATACAGGGAACTGAATTTTGATCCTCTGCATTCTTAACTCCTGAGTGTGTGCGTGCACGCGCGTGCCTGTGCCTGCGCCTGCGTGTGTTGTGCTAATGCCATGACACATGTATAGAGGCCAGAGAGCAGCATTTGGGAGTCAGTTTTCTACTCTGTGGGCTTCAGGGGTCAAACTCAGGTAGTCAAGGTTGGCAAGCAGTCCTACCTGCTGAGTCATACCACTGGTTCACAAAGTTATATCCTTAGAGTTATTAAACTTTGTCCAAATGAAAATTTTTAAGTAAATAATTTATCTTATTTCTATAAAGCAACGTTGAGTAATGTCTGAGTGCCATTGCAGTCAGGGGCTGTGTGCTTTCTCAGTTATGCATTATAGTCTACTTGTCATTTAATAAAGAGTGTTTGTTTCATAGGTTGAATTGATTATAAGTTTTTGTTGTAAACATTACAAGTAATATAATTAATCCCATGCATGACTAATTTAAATTTAGCTTAGAAATATTGGTTAGACATCATCCACTTAAATTTTATTTCCCTGTTGTTTTCTTTCTTTTAAAGCACACTTGTTTTGCATCGTTAACTACTTGCTCATATATTTTTACTTAGTTTTTCCATAGAGTGAGGTTTTCACTTAGAAGAATTTTACTACATTTGGGCTGTGAACTTTTTCAGGTGGAGGAAGGCTGGTGGAGTGGAACTCTGAACAATAAGTTGGGACTTTTCCCCTCAAACTTTGTGAAAGAGTTAGAGCTCACAGAGGATGGTGAAACTCATGAAGGTCAGGACGAATCAGGTAGGAGAAAAAAACTTGACTATGATTTTATCTCTTGGAATTCTTCATTTGAGTGCTTAATCAATTTCAGTTAGCCTAGTTTTAAAGAACAGATTATAATGGGAATAGAAGGGGAAAAAAATACCTGATCAGTTTATTCTTTTTTCTTTCCCTGAGTTCTGTTTAGCGTACTATTTGAACTGCTGAGTTTGCAAATGGCCTAGCTTAATAATTGAGAAAATTTTAAGTAGCAGTCTTTTGTTTTCTATATTCATATTCCAGATTCTGTTTTCCCTACAATCAAATGCCAGTTAATTAATTCATTGTTATTGCTGTCATTATTATTTGGTCTTTTGAGATAAGTTCTCTATATGTAACTTTGTCAACATGGAACTCACTGTGTAGACCACACATTTGAACTTGTAGCAATCCTCCCGCCTCAGTCTCAGAAGTACTGTGATTCTAAGTGTGTGTCCTACCATGTTTAGCTTAATAAATTTGATCTCTTGTCAATTAGAGACAGAAATTCATCTTAATATTCTCATCATTTAAGGATTTAGTTGAGGAAATGTTACGCTAATTATAAATTAATACTCTTTTTTTTTTAAAAAAAAAAAAACCACTGTTGTGGTATTTAGGAAAGTTGCTTTAAAATACTACTTAAATTTTGAAGTGTAGGTAGGATTGTACATTTAGTGAGGATAAGTAATACATAGCTATTTTTGGTTATGTATGTTATAGATTTTAAGGGTTAGTCTATAACCTGTAAGATGCCAGTTACTTTTTCTTTTCTTTTAGAGTCAGTATAATGCCAAGGTGTGTGTGTATGTTTCTTCTTTATGTGAGTAGTGACAGTTAATATATGCTATCTTTGCCTTTCTTTAATTAATTTGCAACGAGAGTAATGATTTTATCAAAAAGGTATTATATGCAATTGCAGGGCAGTGCATTGTTTTGAGCTATTATTTTCTTTGACTTTTGTCAGTACTTTTAGTGTTTTATATACAGATGTGCAAATGATTTGAAGTAAAATGAAAGCTGTGAATACAGAGAATGGATTCTGAGCTTTAGTGAACTGAATGACAAGAGACTTTTAGAGAAAATAAATCCAAATAATAATTAAAACTTTCATAGACTTGAGGTTGGAGACATGGCTCTGCAGTTAAGAGTACATACTGCTTTTGCAGAGCAGTTGGTTTCCCAGCATGCACATTGGACAGCTCACAACAGCCTGTAACTTAATAGAATATATAAATTTTGTTCACTGCCAAATGCCTATTTTGTGGAATAGTGTGACATGTCGATAGTCAATGCATGAAAGAATAGTACTTTTTGGTATACAGAGGATTTTCAGGCAGTTTAGAAAGTGAAACCCTTAACTTTGGAGAGTATTGATGTCACTCTTAATAAGGGAGATGAAATAGGACACCTGGTTATCCAGGGAGTAGTAAATCATAGTTGGGCTGCTGTTGATTTCTTTTATACTTCTTAATGTATAGAAGACATGAACAGGAAATTAGGTACTAGGCATTTCTTAGTATTGCAGCCCTGTGGTTTGCCTGTTGGACTCTGATTTCCAAGTCATGACTGAGAGTGCTGAGTATTGACATGAGAGCTCATTTACATTTTAGTGGAGGCTTGTCATTAAGTCTGCAATGTAATAGTTACAGACCGAAAGGAAGCCCACATATAAAAACTGCTATTCACTTAGCATCTGTAGTTTGTTTACTTTTAGTATGTTGAGTGTTTGTTGTCCAGCATACTGTGCTTAGATTCTGGGGATTCAGTGGTGAATAACAAGCAGCCCCCCAACTTTGAAGCTTTTGTTACATTCAAAAAGAAAAGACTTTATTAAATGAGTCAAAGTTGATGTAATTTGACATGAGAAATATGTCACAAGGAACTTCTGAGTACTATAGATGTACATAAAGGGGGAAAACATCTTTTGCAGAAGTACTGTGTTGAGATCTCAAAATCAATAGGCCAGTGCCTCAGCAAACTTGAAGAGTGAAGAAAGGCCATAGGTTTTCAAGACTTGGAAGACAGTCATTTCAGAGAGATTTTGGATTATATAGTTGAAGGTGGTAAGTGTTAAGGATGGAGAAACGTCAGGCATAAGACACTAAAACCACCAAATCACAGAGAATGTATGAAGGGGAATAACATGATCAATTTTTTTTTAAGCTGGATTCTTTTGGTTACATGTGGAGAGTGCTTTGAAGACGACTGGCTGGCAGGCCCAGCTGAGTGTTGTGTTAATTTAGGTAGAACAGAAGAATGCTGTGGTGGTGGAGAGACATGGGTAGAATGGGAGAGCTCCATCGGTTCTGTATCATTTAGGACTTAGTTATGATGGGATATGGAGAGTGACTGAAGAAGAGTGGTCAGAGATTACCAGCTAGTCTTTGGGTTAATGTAGATACTGTTTATTGTCAGGAGCTAGGTTTAATTAGGGAGAGATGGTGAATTTACTTTAGAGATGTTGAGTTAGAGCCCTCCTAGGGAATATGGGACTATCCAAGTAAAGAAAATCAAGATAATCTCCCTTCCTCTCTTTCTCCCGCCTTCTCTTCCTTTCTTCACATGTATATACATAAACACAGGGAAATGTGGAGCCATCTTTAAAAGCTTCTAGACTGGTGTTGTAAGATTAATGGTAAACTGGATTGTTTCTATTGAATGTTGTGTTTTCATCAGGTGTCTCTGTTGTATTACTTTTCATTAATACCCAGTATAATTCATGATTTTTTTGGTAATTTTTCAACAAAGGATCACATTTCAGATTTTAAAAATTGTTTTATGTTACTAAATGGAGGTATACATGAAGTAGTTTTTGTTGCACAAATTTAGTGAAAAAAAGGGAAACAGATTTTATGGTAAATAATTATATATTATATATATATTCAATGATTATACATTCGAGCTGGAGCAGAGGTGTATTTAATGAGCTATTAAGATGAGATGCTAATAAGTAGTGGAAGAAACCAAGACAAGAGAGGAGTAAAAAAATGTGTAAATAAAAAACGAGTAGCAAGCTAATAGATTTAAATATTATTAATTATATTAAATATAAATGGTCTGAAAATTGAATGGACAAGATTGCCAGACTGGTAAGTATACTATCAAGGTCTCTTATAACTCTTATCAGGTTATAAGAAAGATAGAGCCTGATGTTCTGTGTAAGACATACTAGATTTTAGTATAGGATGGTTATATTAGCATCAAAGGATCCTTCAGGAAAAGAAATACCTCCATGAAGCTTCTTCAAAGCAAAATGCTTTCACAGTCTAATGCACTCCTGCCTGCACACCATGAGGTGGTGTTAGTTCTTCCCAGTCATCTCCCAGTGCCACCTCTTACGTGGTCATCACCTTTTTGCGCCATTAGGAGACAAACCATATCTAAGATGGTTTGCGGGCTGGAGAGATGGCTCAGAGGTTAAGAGTATTGCCTGCTCTTCCAAAGGTCTTGAGTTCAATTCCCAGCAACCACATGGTGGCTCACAACCATCTGTAAAGGGGTCTAGTGCCCTCTTCTGGCCTGCAGGCATACACGCAGACAGAATATTGTATACATAATAAATAAATATTTTAGAAAAAAGAGTAGTATCTTGCTAAGAATCTTTTGTTTTCTGAATTTCTTAGTCATAAAATTAAATATAGTTAGAATAGTTACTTTATTCAACATAGCAACAAAAATCAAAGTACATTTGAGCACTGTGTTGTTTATCTTTCTGTTTTTTTTTTACAAAGTATAAGATACAGATATTGTAGAAAGTGTTGTAAAGATTTTTGTAATTTTGAGTGTCATTCTTCATAAACAAAATTATTCTTTTAGAAATAGCTTTGACTGGCCCTACCTCACCATTACTGTCTCCGGGAAATGGGAGTGATCCTGGATCAGTTACACAGCCAAAGAAAGTTTTCCGAGGAGTTGGATTTGGAGATATTTTTAAAGAAGGCTCTGTGAAACTTAGGACAAGAACATCCAGTAGTGAAACAGAAGAGAAAAAAACAGAAAAGGTATTGTACTAGTTTGGTTCTTATTACTATAATTCATACTGACCAAAACTGACTTGGAAGGAGGAAAGTGTTGGTTGGCTCACATGTCCAAGCAGTCAATCATTGAGGGAAATCAGCAGGACTCAAGCAGGAATAGAGGCAGGAACCATGAGGTAAAGCAGCTTACTGGCTTGCTCAGTTGGCCTGGTCCCTCTCACATCAGTCAGCAATCAAGAAGATGTTTCACAGACATGACCCACAGGCCAGGCTGGTGGAAGAAATTCCTCAGTTGAGCGTCCCTCTTAGGTGATGGTAGTTTGTGTCTGGTTGACAAGAACTAACCATCACAGGTAGTCACAGTTAACCATAGGTAATCACAGTTAACCAATCACAGGTAGTAATAATGCATTTAACTTAGATTAATTTTATTCATTGTTTCATTTAGTATTTTGGGGATGAGGGTATTGGCTTTTTATTCGTATGCTTTTTTGAGATAAGATTCTTTATGTAGCTCAGGCTAGCCTGGACCTCAAGATCCTCCTGGTAGCTCACTCCGCATCACTAAAGATTTTTTTTTTAAGTTATAAAAGAGTGAAAAGTCTGTTAATTAATTTTGAGGGTCATGGGGGCTTATGAATGGGAAGCTTATAGGAAACTTCTTATAATTTGTAATGGCTAATAATTTTATTAGGGTGCTTATTAATTGGTAAATCCAAGACAGACTTTCCTTAGTGGCAACCTCAGTGTCCTTTAGTTATTACAGTGTAAATATAAAAGGGAAATATTTTTTGTTTTGCTTTTTAAAGCTAAAGATTTGTTATTTTTCTTTTAATTTAATAAATACCTAAAAATGAACTATTTAAAGTAAATTCTAAATAAAATGTTAAATTACTTAAGTGCTACATAACTTTTCTCTGGATTCTCAACAGTAGCTAAATTTACTAACCTCAAATAGATAATTTTATTAGCATTTTACTAGCATTTTCAAATGAAATCAAGTGAACAATCCATAATTTATAAAATCTAATAAAAAGCTTAAAAGTAAGCCCTTAAGTTTTTGTTTTGGGAGGAAATAATTGCAATCTTGAGCCTTTCTTTGGAAATTTTGGTTCCCAGTGTTTGTATTTTGGAGATACTGACTGAGCAAGTACTTCAGAAGAAAGGAACTTCATCCCTATAATTCTCATTTTAAAAAATAGCTTTATTTTATGTTTATGTGTGTGCACGTATGTGTTTATGTGTATATGTGATATGCACACTTCAGCCTGAGAATATCAGAAGAGGGAGCTGGGTCCTCTGAAAGTGGAGTTACATGTGCTTGATTGAGCTTCTGCGGGGGTGTTGGGAACCAAACCTGGGTCTTTAAGAGCACTAAGTGCTCTTGTCAGCTGTGCCATCTCTCTAGGACCTATAGTTCTCATTTATATCTTCTTATCTCTTAAAATTTTAAAATATTTCATTATTTACCCAGTTCAGCCACATCTCATTTGGTTGGTGTAATACGTTGTTATTTCTCCCAAGATGGTGGTCTTCTTCTCTGCCAGGTTCCCGCATATTTTCCTATTTAATTGTGAGTTGGATTTAGGAAAGAGCATCTCTGCTTCCTGCCTTGCCCTTTCCTACCTCTGAGACTCTTGGCATTAAGATTTTAGTATGATGGCATATATCTTTAAATCCTAGCATTTGAGGTAGAGGCAGATGAATCTCTGTGAATTTGAGGCCTGTCTGGTCTACATCGCAATTTCCAGGGAGTCAGGGCTCCATAGTGAAATGCTGTCACCCCCCCCCTAAAAAAAAGATTATAGGGTATAATGAATTAATGGATTAGAGTCTCAGTTTTGTGAAATGGTGTTCTACAGTTTTTTTGCTTTTGAGGTCCCTTTGAGCTCTAAAAGTGTGGGATGGTACTGAATAACTTTTTGATTAATGACATTGCATTAGTATTCTGCCAGTCACAATTCATAACGTCTGCTACGCAGTTATTAGTGAGAGTAGTCTCAAAGTAACATTATTTAATAAAGTAGGGAGCACTTGTTATGTTTTAGGTGATACCATATTGAAAGGTATGGTTAAAACTGAGAGAAATTAAAGTGAGTTTTTTGGAAGACACATAAACGTATTGGTAGGTTAGTTATCAGTGTATTCGTATTTTTAACCATTAAATTCTAATGTCATATGTGCTGCTCTATTTGGGTAGAGAACTCAAGGAAGCACACATTGAAGGTGGTGTAGGACCATACTCTATGGAGAAATGTCTAAGTAGTCTATGTAAGAGTTGTAACAGTACCTAAATATTTTCATTCAGATAGTAATGAAGTGTAAAGTTTCTAAATTTCCCTCGTATTTCAGGGTTTGGGTGGGGTAGGAGTGATGTAGATGCAGTACTCATGTGAAACCCAAAGCTACAGTATACAGTAAGAAATTCTCAAATAATGCATAAATAAAATAAATTGAAAAGTTCCCCTCCAGCTTTAAGGCGTGGTGTTGTTAAGTATCCATTTTTGTAGATTCAGATCTGGGCTCCAGGTATCCTACTTGATACCGAAATTTGTAAGGATTATGTTTCAGTCTATATAAAGTAGTTGTTTTATTTATTTTAGAATTTCTATTATTAAATAGATAGTGGATACCTGAGTATTTATTATTTTAAGATAGTTTTAAAAATTAGTGGTTATAAGCAAGCCCCCAGGAGGCAGAGGCAGGTGGGTCTCTGTGAGTTCAAGGTCAGCCTGGTCTACAAAGCAAGTTCCAGAATAGCCAGGGCTGCAACACAGAGAAACCCTGTCTCGAAAAACCAAAATAGATAGATAGATAGATAGATAGATAGATAGATAGATAGATAGATAGATAGATAGATAAAATAATTAAAAAAATTAATGGCTATTGGGTCTGGAGAGATGGCTTCCAGAGGACCTGGGTTAGATTCCTAGTTAAACTTGCATAGTGACTCCCAGCCCTCTGTAACTCCAGTCCCACGGGATCCACTGCCCTCTTCTGGCCTCCATGGACACTGCATACACTTGGTGCTCGGATGTAAATGCAGATAAAACAGTCATACATGTTTTGAGGAAATTTTTAGATTGTTAATTTTTTATTGCTGAATCTTTAGTTAGATTACTAAACCTAACTATAAGTACCATTATAGAGGACTGGGGAAGTGTGAAGGAAAACTTGGTTTAACATCTATTATTCTTGGCTGGAGAAATGGGCTAGCAGTTAACAATACATATTGATCATATAGAGGACCACAGTTCAGTTCCCAATATACATGTCAGGTGACTGACTTAAAACCACCTGTAACTTCAGCTCCAGAGATCAACACCATCTTTTGTCCTCTGGGCAGCTGAATTCATGTGAACATTCCTACCTTACGGATACTTATATAGATGCATAATTTACAAGCTAAAGTAAAATCTTAAACAATCTTCTTTTAGACTTACTTATTTTTGTTTTATGTGTTTGAGTGTTTTGCTCTCATGTATATCTGTACCAAATACATGCCTAGTACCTTCAGAGGCTAGAAAGGGGTTACGATCTCCTGATTCTGGAGTTATAGATGATTGTGAACCACCATGTAGGTGCTGGGAATTGAACCTGGGTCCTCTGGAAGAGCAGCTAGTGCTCTTAAACACTGAGCTGTCTCTTGAGCCTGAAAAGTAAAAATATTAATTAAAACCATTATTTTTATTTTAGCTCAAGCTAGTTGATAGTGTTCTTTTTCTCTTCTAGCCCTCAATTCTGGGATCCAGAACCCAGAGTGTGGAGGTGACAAAACCAGACACCGATGGTAAGAGTAAAGGTAAGCTCTGCAGCAAACCACTCTGGTATAGATACACATAGTGCTAACTCACTAGAGGGACTGGTCACACTGTAGTCATTCCCAGAATAGTACATCCTCCTGGATAAAAACACACGAGGTTGAGCATTCTGGAGTGCTGTGTTCATTTAAGAATCTCGGAAGTTAAAACTGTATTTTATACATCTCAGACACTGAGTATTATTTGAATGACAGGTAAACTTTTCTTACCATTGAGTATAAGTTTTAAAATTAATAGTTGAACTTTTAATAGCTTAATGAGTATATTATTTTACATAGAGGCTTAATAAGTATCTGCTGTATTAATCAACTTGTATAAGTCACATTATATATTCATATTATTTATATTCCTTATTTCAGTTAAGGAATATTGTAGAACATTATTTGCTTATGAAGGAACCAATGAAGATGAACTTACTTTTAAAGAAGGGGAGATAATCTATTTGATCAGTAAGGTAAGGTTTTTTTTTTTTTTTTTTTGGTGAATCATCATTCATAGAAATATCTTTCAAAATTCTTTTAGTGCCTGTAGAATATTAGCTTCAGATGGGTTGGGATTTATTTTGATTTTGGGTTCTGGGAACATAAATACAAGCTCTTAAAGTGATTTTATTTTAAAGTTTTTATTGTTTGTATTGCTTATAATTTATATACTAAAAATCAGTGATAGGGTCTAGAGAGATGGCTTAGTAGCTAAGAGCATTTGCTGTTCTTGCAGAGAACCAGGGTTCAGTTTTCAGCGCCCACATGGTTGCTTAGAGTCATTGTACATCTACTTCGGGGGACCAGACACCTGCTTTTGACTTCTGCAGGCATCAGGCGCGCGCGCACACACACACACACACACACACACACACACACACACACAGCCCTCCCCCCCAACATACATGTAGGCAAAATATTCAAACACTTAAATAAATCTTAAAAAGGAAAAAAAGAAAGAAATGACCTGTGATTACATCGCTTATTTTTATTCATTTATTAACTAAGAATTGGACATCTTAAATGTTCATTAGTAAGTAAGACGTCATTCATGAAACTTGACTTGCTGTGGGAAATGGTCCGAGAACAGCTTGTAGGAGTTGGATTTCTCTCTCTGCCCCTGTGGGTCCTAGGGTTTGAACTTAGGTTATCAGACTTGATGGCAGGCAGCACCCCTCCCTGCTGAGCCATCTCACCGACCTTGGTACACCTATTTTAAAGAACAAAATGATTGTATACATTAGAATAAATTCTAAGGCAACAAGAACCTCCTGCCCCAAAAACAAAAATAAAACCTCCTGGGTTTTAGGTCTGGGCAGAATGGTATAGTAATAATTACTTATGAGAGAATAATAAGTATTTACTTTTGCTATAGCCTTGTGGAGTATTTTGTTTTGAAGTTCTTATTGTTTTAAGTTAACTGTTAACATTTGGGTTAGTGTATGTGATCCTTATTTAGTAATACATTTTATTGTGTACATTTAAAGTGTATAAATTATGAATCCAAAAAGATAGCAAAAAGGTTAATGAAAGGAATATGTTCAACATCTCGCTTAACTACCTACCTACATGATAAATAGCTGTAGTCCACACATTTAACATCACCTCCGTATATAATTCTTAATATTCATAGTTTATATTGATAAAATTTAATACTTTATGCAGGTGATCATTAGAAGTGCTAATTTCTGAAGCTGCATAAGTGATTTTTAGTATTGCATATAAAATGTTAAGATAGTAAAAGTTTAGGAATTCTTATATTTTTCCTGTTTCTTCTTACCTATTGTATTTTTCTCTTCTCTACCACCCCTGTCCCCATGAGAACATTTTTAAATTGTTTTGATTTTAAATTTTTTTGTCAGGGTCTCACTCTGAGTAGCATGGAACTTGGCGTGTAGGCCAGGTTGGCCTCATTCTCACAGAGATTTGTAAGCGGCAGCCTCCTGAGTTGGGATTTAAGGGTGTGTGCCACCACACCTAGGTATTAAGCCCAGTTTCTAACTACCACTAAAAGTAGTATGCAGGGAATAGTTTTTCTGGGAAGACTGCCTACCACAGTCTGTCTCCTTTAAAGATAATAGAAGTCATCCTAGCTTCTTGTGAACTTCCCCTTATTTAAAAACTACTAGCGTATGTCTGCAGAGCTAGGGGCAGGAGGATATTCAATTTGAGGTAGCCTTTGCTACCTGGTTAGCTCCCCCCTCCCCCCAACCACTGCAAAAGAGGAGAAAAAGAAAAGAAAATGTGGAAAATGTGATACATTAGTGTAACTGCTTTGTGTTTTAGGACACTGGAGAAGCAGGCTGGTGGAAGGGTGAGCTTAATGGCAAAGAAGGAGTGTTTCCAGACAACTTCGCTGTTCTGATAAGTGAACTAGATAAAGACTTTCCAGTAAGAGTCTATTTGCTTTTTAATGATGATGATACTTTAACGTTTGCAGATGGTTTTTCAAAAGTAGATTTTATATTGCTGAACAAATTTCATAAAATTGCGCATTTAAGTAAAATTTGGTTTGCTGTGAAACATTTTATTTTAGTCTTGTATTTTGTTCTTGATATTGGCTCTCTCTGTGCTGAAAACCAGCTGTACCTTCTTTACCTTTTGAGTCACAAAAATGTTGGGTTTATGTAAATTGAATAGATTCTTAATTTTCTGAATGAGATTTAATGTTAATGAAAAGTGTCAGTTTATTGTATGGTATTGTGAAGCTGGGTGCATGCCTCCTTAGACATGTAATATTTCTGTATGAATTCTCAAGAGAAAACTAATCATTCATTAGTACTAGATCTTTTTGCCTTTTCGTGCCTTGACACTTTCTCCACATGCAAGGTTACTTGAGCTTACCAATTAGAAGGCAAAACAGTTAGATGTACACAACAAAATAGGCTGTCATCTTCAGTTCAGGCCGATGCAGAGCATGCTAATCTTTGTAGTCTTTAATCAAGTAAATTATTGGCAATTATATTACAGAAGCTTAGGCTGTCTGAGTTCTTTCCTTTGCTATATTGCATTCAGTTTTGGTTCACCTTCCAGTTTTCTTTCTTTAATGAGCATTTTTCCTGTTTTTATTGTATAACTTACTAGTTATTTGTTATTTGGAGAAACACAATTAAAAATGTTAGAAACTTTTTAAGACATTAAATTAATTGGAATTGACTGTGGATGGAGGTTTATTTGCTTTAGCCTTAAGGAAGGGCAAATTACCAGTGGTTCCACCACAGAAGAATGACACCTCACACCTAGGAATCATTACTGCCTGTAGCTGCTCATCAGTGGGAGTGGGGCATGATGGGTGCGATGCTGATGGGCTCAGTCCTAGGGAGAGGTCATGGATGATACCCTCCTCATAGCCAAAAGCCAGCTCTCCACAGATGCCCTTCCCACCTCTTGTCTCTTACGTTCTTTCTTTCTGCACATAATTCTTTGGTATTTCTGAGCCTCCTTTGTGGGTATGATATACATGGCCAACTCAGAGTGTTGAAAAGTAGTTATATTCTTGGCACTTTATCCTGTTATGAGTCTCTGCATTATCTATGACTTGCTGAAAGCAGAAACCACTCTGTTTTAAGGCAGAGAACACTACTCTATGAGTACAAATAGAAATATTTACAGGACAGTTTCATATCATGTCCATATAGAAAATGTTAGTAGTAGTTTCCCTTCTGGGGCCTATGACCTCCCACTCCATGAGTATTTGACCAGGTTTGTAGTATTGGGCACGAGTCCCTCTGGTAGAGCAGACAGAAATCTAAGCAGAAGGTGCTTGGTTACCTCCATACAGTCCTGCCACTAGTGCACCAGTGGGCACAAGCCCTTCTGTCCTCTGTCCCTGAGCTGGGAAGAAGGGGCAAAATTTTGTTTGAAAATCTAAGACTAATTAGATGAAGATGAAAAAATTTTGGTCACCAAGATTCTTTGTCTTTACCTGATTTAACTAATTCTTTTTTTTAAAAAAAGTATTTGACTAGCTTTTGATCCAGAAATCTGTTTGTTGTAATAATATTTTTTTCAGAGACTTTTCCTAGTTGTTAGGTTCTTAATATTTTATATTCTTGGCAAGCATGAGATGAGAAACAATATAATTTATATTAATTTATTTTTACTCTAAATAACTAATCAGTTTTAACTTTTTTCCCTTCAGAAACCAAAGAAACCACCTCCTCCTGTAAAGGGTCCAGGTTTGTAAAAAAAAAAATGCATTGTTTAGTTGATTACTTTTCATATTTTTAAATTATAAAATAATAAGGTTTAATTTAATGTAAACCATTGAATTTTATTAGCAAAACCAATTAAAGTTAGTATTAAGGCATTTTAGATCTATGCAAAATTAAATGTTCACATGCATTATTCTTCATAACAAATTATGTAAAATAAGGATCCTACTTAGGCATGGTGGTACATATCTGTAAACCCAGCCCCTTTAGGATTCTAAGTTCAAGGCCAGCCTGGGCTGTATAGTTAGAACTTGTCTCCAAAAATAAAATAAGGATCTTTGGGATAATTTGAATACTTCAGTAATAGGAATATTGAATTGATACAAATTATCAGGTTTAAACCTATTTTAAAATGACTTGGCTGAATTATATATTCTACTTATTCTTTTAAATTTTATGTATATATTTTTTTTTCCGGCATGCATGTCTGGGTACCATGTGCATACAGTGCTTATGGATGCCAGAGGGGGCACCAGATCCACCCTATGTTTGGAGTTAAAGATAGTTGAAAGAGCTTGCCACATATGTGGGAGTATTGAACCTGGGTCTTCTGGAGGAACAGCTAGTGCACTTAACTGCTGAGCCATCAGTCCCTCCTCTACTCTACTTTGTCTTTCTTGATAATTAATTGATTAATTTATTTGTTTTGAGGCAGGGTCTCAATATGTAGATCTGGCTAGTGTAGACCAGGCTGACTTAACTCAGAGAGACCTGCCTGCCATAGCCTCTCCAATTCTGGGTTTAGAGGTATGTGCCATGACACCTGTCTCCATACTCTACTTTTTTATTCATAGTTTTTGAACAAATGCTTCTTTACACAAAGTATTTCCTAAATATACTTTGGAGGTATTGTGCATTTCTTTTGCTTTGGGTTTTTGCTTTTGGTTTCTTGAGACCAGGATCTCACAGTGTAGCTGAAGGGGAAACCTGAGCTAACTAGATAGCTCATGTTAGCCACAAAATTATGATCGGCCTCCACCTCCTGAGTGCTGCAATTTCAGGTGTGTTACAATCATGCCATCCCTATTATATGGCATTGCAACTGAAATAAAGTATAATCTTATGAGTACAGATGCATTCATAAGATAAAAATGCCAAATCAAGGAATGTTAATGGTTTTTCATGTTAATCCAAGTACAGATGAAGAAATTAATTTGAATTCTGATGTTTGAGTACCAGAAATGACCATCTTTTTGTTCTTTTCTCGTGTATTATTTCTTAAAAGTTGTTATTCACTTTCTTCTCTACCACCAGCTCCAAAGCCTGACCTGTTAGCTGCAGAGAAGAAAGCTTTCCCTCTAAAGTCTGAAGAAAAAGGTAAGGCCGATTCCTCCCTTACCCAGCAAATCCTTTCTTTGATTGTGTCTTAAAGAAACATGACCACGATAGATCATTTACACAGTCTTTATGTACTTGTTAATACTTACTTTCAGTACTAAGAGCTTTCTAGGAATGCATATTATATAAAACTGATACAAAATTAAATCTTTCGTCATACAGATATTTTATATTCATTAAAAAAATAAATGAAGGCTGGGCGGTGGTGGTGCGTGCCTTTAATCCCAGCACTCAGGAGGCAGAGGCAGGCTGCAGGCAATAGATCTCTGTGAGTTCAAGGCCAGCCTGGTCTGCAAGAGCTAGTTCCAGGACAGGTTCCAAAACTACAGAGAAACTGTCTCGAAAAACCAAAAACAAACAAAAAAAAGTAAATGAATTCCTCAGTAAGATGTAGTATCTGTTTCATATTATGTATAAAAAACTAGGTACTTGATGAAAATTAAAAAAAATTTAAGAATTTAACTATGGAGATTACTAGGTAGTTTTTTAATCTTGTACATGAACTTGGGAAGTTTTTCCTAGATACCATGTATTTTGTCAAAAAAACATTTTATATTGTTGTTAAATTTAGGAAAATAAGATTTTTTCCTGTACAGAAAGATTTTTGATGTCTGTCTTTACTAGATTGGGCACAAACTGGAATATTGCTTCAGAATGCTTTTATTTCTTTGGCTAGTGTTAGAGTTTAATCTGTCATTGTTTCTTGCTTGAATTATGTGTCTTAACTGATTTCTCCCACTTTAGCTCCTTGTCTGGCTTGTATTTCATAGCATATTCAGGATCATCTCTCTTTTGATTCCTTCTTGTCCGTCTGTCCATCCGTCTGTCTGTCCTTCCGTCCCTCCCTCTGTCTCTCCGTCCCTCCCTCCGTCCCTCCGTCCCTCCCTTCCTCTCTCCCTCCCTTCCTCCTTCCCTCTCTCCCTCCCTCCTCCTAATTTTTGAGTCACAGAAAGTTGAACCAAGGGCTAGCAAGATTGACTCAGCAGGCAAAAGTACATTGCTACACAAACCTGATGATCTGAGTTTGATTCATGGGACCCCACATCAAGGTTGACTGTGACCTCCACACATGTACTGTGCCATGTGCAACCCCTATGAGTTCTCTGGCTCATTCTCCTCCACTATAAACATTCTGCATTGGCGTAGTGTATTGGTCATGACTGGTGGTTACAATTATAATTGACATGCCATCATCTTTAAGAGTTCTTACAGTTGAATTTACTGTGTGTTGTACATTTTGTTGGATGGACAAGTGCGTTGTGACGTGTATCCACCATTCTGTCTTCAGAATAGTTTCACTATAGCTCCTTGTCTGGCTTGTACTTCAAGTTTCGCTATTCTGAATGTTCTCTACTCTTATCTTAAAATACCCTCCATCCTAACCTTTGGTAGTCACTTTCCCCTTATCTGTTTCTATACCTTTGCATCTTTCATTATTTGTAGTATGTAATCATTTTTATTGTTTCTTTAATTTTCTATGTATGTAAAAAAATCTACCCATGGTTTTTCATGAGTTGGTAGTTCATTTGCTTTTTACTACTGCTTCATTGTCCATGTGTATTGCCTATGTATACTGAGGAATATTTTGATTGGTTCTAAGTTTTTGCGCTTATAAGGAAAGATGCTATAAACATGTATGTAGGTTTAATTTGATCATACATTTTAGTTCATTTAAATAAATATCAATGATGAAATCACTGGATCCTTTGGTAAAGGTATTTGTAGTTTTCTAAGGAACTGCCAAACTATTCCCAAATAGTCTCATGTTGTATTCATACTACCAGTGAAACTTTGTTTTGTGTCCTCAGCAATATGTAATGTTTTCTCTGCTTTGTGTTTGTATTCTGGTAGCTGTGTAATGGTGTCACATGGTTTCCACTTTCCTAATGACATCTGATATTGAACATCTTTTCATGTGCTTGACAACTTTGGTGACATGTATGTTAGATTTTTAGTTCATTTTTTACTGAGTTTAAGAGTTCTTTGTTTATTGAGTAGCAACCCTTTATTACATATTACACTTCTTTTTCCATTGTGTCTTAATTCTCTTATAGAACAGAAATTTTATTTATTTTATTTTACTGAAGTTTTAAATTTTTTAAGGAAATTATTATGTATGTATATATGATTTGTATGTCAGTGCTAACGTTGTGCATGTGATTTGAATACAGCTTTTGAGAGTTGGTTCTCTCCTTATCACCGTTGGTTCAAGTTGTCATATTCAAGATCATTTTGATCTTTTCTGTGTTATATTGTAGGAAATTATATATTTTTTTCTTCACATTTAGGTTTGTGATGTTTGGAGTTTTGTTTAGCTTCTTAGCCTGTCCTAAAGGCATGTTATATGCTGTAGGAAAAAAGTCAGACAGAACCTGATGCTCTTGCAGAGTTGAAGGCACAGAGTAGACCTTTAGGGTGGGATACTAAGTCAGTTGTGCAGAGTGCCAGAATATTATGGGGTTCTGCACAAAAGGAGCAGTTGGAGATTTGCTTTGGAATTACTGTGAGGCTTTGCCTGTATGATACGAATCTTGACAGCTGCCAGGAAGAGGGGAGGTGGAGAATAAGTCATGCCGGTTAAGTTAGATGTGGAAGTCAGAGGAACAGTGAGGAAGGCCATAGTTACAGGGCAGACATGCTTAGACAAAGCTGCAGATCTGAGTTCATAGGGCAACCAGTTCCAGGTTCCTGTGTCTCAGGGCAAAGGATTGCATCAGGAACACATGGTTAGAAATAGGATAGGGCAGTTTCTTAAGAAAGAAGAAAGATGCCCAAGAATGGCAGTGGACTAGAGGGAGGGCTAAGCTAAGCTAAGAGCCCTATATGCAATTTCCTTAAAATATTTTTTCAGTATTTTCTAGAGATTCAAATTTAGCTAGCTGTTGCTCTGTAAAGGGCTCTACTTGATTATGAAATAGAAATAGGAAGCTTTGTATTTTTCTCCTGGTGGTATAGGGATGGGATACATTGCTATATTTTGAGGCCATATAAAAATAGACTTTTAGCCAGACATGGTGGTACATGCTGACAATTCCAGCACTTGGGAGGCAGAAGGCTATCTGAGCTCAAGTACATGTTGGTTTACAATGTGGTTTCCAGAACAGCCAGAACTACATAGAGACACCTTGTCTTTGGCAAAAACAGAACAACAGACTTCTGAATAATGATCAGTAATTTGACAGATTACTTTTTTAATAACAAGCTCTATTTGTACATGGTAGAACTTATTTGTTTTGATTTAATAAGTGTTTGCCTACATGTATATATGTGTACTGTATGCATGGCTGGTACCAAGGAGGCCAGAAGAGGGCATTAGATCCCTGGAACTGGAGTCACAGACAGCGAGTTATTGTGTAAGTGCGAGGAACTGTATCTGGTCCTCTACAAGAGCAGCCAGTGCCCTTAACTGCTGAGCCTTTTCTCCAGACCCTATATTTTATATTTTTGTTATTTTAAGGTGAAATTTGTTTAAAGAAGGTGTGCTGTGTCTTGTGATACTGATTCAAGTTTATTATTTACCAGCTTCTGACTAGGGAAATTTCATAAAATCACTTGTAGGCTTTTTTATATGCATTATTTTTTAAGACAAATAGTCATTCAGTGCTGGTCCTAAGTTTATTGTTTTTTAATTGTCTGTCATACTACTATGTGAATCTGTGCTGTGTAATCACAGATGTTCTGCTAAGTATTTGTGCTTCGTACTTGAAAATAAGGAAGTGGATATGCTTTCTGTAGGATGTGTTTGCTGTCTTTCTTTTGGTGAGGTTGTTTTTAATGAATGCGGTATACAACCATTATAATACTGTTATTTAAGCATTTTTCTATCAAATAAGAAATATTTATTTCACTAAAATAGTGTTACCACCCCTAATAGCAAACCAAGGTTGCCAGAAGCAAGACAAAAAGCATGTATTATTTGTAATTAGGTTTTTTTTTTTAATGAGTTTTGGCTCCACTGGGAAATTTTTTAAGAAAGATTCTTAGACATGTTAAAGTGCAACTTTCAAACTGTGCTTATACACATAGGCAATGTGAAGGTTAATATTGATCTTTGCCAGAAAAAAAAAACCTAAATAGTTTTGACTATTTAAGTATTTTTTAATCATCAGATGAAAAATCACTGCTGGAACAGAAGCCCTCTAAACCAGCTGCTCCTCAAGTCCCACCCAAAAAGCCCACTCCACCTACCAAAGCCAATAATTTATTGAAGTCTCCTGGAACAGTGTACCCAAAGCGACCAGAAAAACCAGTTCCTCCTCCACCACCAGCAGCCAAGTAAGCTTTAACCTGATTTAAAATTAGGTGCTCATTACTCACTTTGACCTGAAGGCCTCCTGTTGCCCTTTTAAGCTTAAGTATCTATTTTCCATATATTTATTTCTTTGTAGATTGTTAGTTCTTTAAATGTTAATCTTACATCAGGATAAATGAATTCACTTAAACTGTTTTTGCATTTCTGATTTTATTGTGATTAGTTTTAGGATTAGAAGTCTATGTTCATGCATAGTTTTACAGAACAGATGGAAATTAGTATTATGTTACACAAAAATCTTTAATGTCATTAAGTCATTATTTTACCTTCAAGTAATTTTTGCATGTTTGTTTTCTCATTTAAGAATTAATGGAGACGTTTCTACTACAGTTTCTTCAAAGATTGAAGCTGAGCCAGTATCAAAACCAAAGCTAGACCCTGAACAATTGCCAGTCAGGCCAAAATCAGTAGACTTTGATGCTTTCATAGTCAGAAATTCCAAAGAAACAGGTAAGTTGAAATGGACAAGATACTGCTTTTAATAAAAGAGTCAGAATGGATTTTAAAAACTCGAAATTTGTGTATGAAATAATGTCACCTAGTTGAAATAGACTTAAAATTTTGTAGCTTAGAGTAGAAAAATAAGGTGGTAGAATATAATTCTGTCTGAGCCGGAATTTCTTACTGATGATCAAAAAATGAACAAGATTGACACGTTGGTACCTCATTATGTCTTCATAATGAAATGACAATACTCCTAAATTAGTCAGAGCTGAGTGCATTTTGGTGTTAAATATTTGAAAACAAGGGGCCAGAGAGATGATTATGATGGTTATGAGTACTGGCTGCTCCTCCAAAGGAAAGGCTTGTTTCCTTGAATCTACACAACTGTCTGTAACCCCAGGTGACCTGGGGCCCTCTTCTGGCCACCATCTGCACCTGCATGCATGCTTTTAAAAAATGTGATAGCAAAAATTTATATTTTGTAAAACTTAAATTTTTATCTTCATTTGGAGAAACTTTTGTTATCTGCAGGAAAATATTTTTATTCAACTAGCTTTACTTTTGCTAAGTAGTGTTTCTTAAGATTTAGGACATTTTTCTATCTTGTGCTGTCCATGTATAGTTGGAAGGTGGAAAGCTAGAAGCACAGACATCCTGGTGAAGTTCTGCCTGCTAAGAGTGTTAGGTAGTCATTACCTTATGGTAATGGGTGTTATTTTGTATAGTATTTTGCATTCCTTTTTAGTTACATTTTTCAAAGGACTTTTTATGTATTTTTTTTCTTATTTTTATTGTAGCCCTAGGAAATAGATGCTGCTTCCCCATTTTATTTGTAAACAGGTACAGATACATTAATGTGTACATCATGAGTGAGAGAGTGCTGATGTCCTTGCATGTGGATAAAGGTTTAGTGTCATCATAGTCTTTGACTTCAGCACTGACATTTTATATTTACATTAAAACTTCAGTGGTAATTACACTTAGACCTTTTGCCATAATTTTATAAAATATACTATTGAATTTAAAATTTTCTTCTGTCTTTTCAGTTCATCAATACAGAGGCTTGTCTGCTTTAAATATTTTGTAAATCCCTTTGTCCTATTTGCATCCTTCTTTCTCTGGATGATGCTACATTCATTACCAAATATTTGGGAATTGTGATGCTAATTATAGCTTAGAAAAGTTCGCTAAAACATACTGTGCCTTACTTGCTAAAAATTGACCTTATTTACTAGTAAATAAAGAATGGCAAAATGTTTTAAAATATCTGTTATTTCTATAGATGTTAGTAAAATGATAGAATTGTCACAGCTCATGTTTACTCAAAATATAACCAGAAATATGGTTTCAAAAGTAAGAGTTGAGGCCGGGCGGTGGTGGCGCATGCCTTTAATCCCAGCACTCGGGAGGCAGAGGCAGGCGGATCTCTGTGAGTTCGAGACCAGCCTGGTCAACAAGAGCTAGTTCCAGGACAGGCTCCAAAATCACAGAGTAAACCCTGTCTCGAAAAACAAAAACAAATAAACAACAACAAAAAAAAAAGAGTAAGAGTTGAAGAAAATCCAGCTACTTATACAAATTTAATAAATAAAAGCATCCGTTTGTTTGTATTATCTTTCAGATTGCCCCAATTTTTGTGAGCTTTATCACAAAAGTCTTAAATTTGATGGCTGTTTTTAGGAGTGGAATTTTCTTTTCATGTTTCTTTGTGTGACTCTTGACTACGTGTTGTATTTCATTTTAAGGTAGAAGTTTCAAAACACTTTAGATAAAATAAGCTTCAGCCTTTTAAAAAAGACTTGTTTTTTTTAATTTCAGTTACATATATGTATGTGTTTGTGTGTGCATGCGTATGTGAGTTCAGGTTCCCACGGAAGTGAGACAAATCAGAGCCCCGTGGGGCTGAAATTGTGGGGTAGTGTGTGAGCTGCCTCCTCTGGGTACTGGGAATGAAACTGGTCTTCTCCAAGAGCAGCGTACACTTTTATTTTGTTGATTGAGACAGGGTCTCTCTATGTAGCCCTGACTGTTTGTAACTTGCTATGTAGACCAGGCTGGCCTCAACCTCACAGAGAGGTCCACCTACATTTGCTCTAGAGTGCTGGAGTTAAAGACGTGTTAAAAGACAGTACAGCTCTTAATGCTGAGCCATCTCTCCAAACCTTCAAGTTTTCACTATCTTTTTCTCTCTTTATGTACATCTATTAAGAGTTTTTTTTTTTTTAATTTTAATGTTTACAGAAACAGTTCATGTAAGAATTTTAAACTCCTGGTTGGAAAGTTAAATCTACATGTTTGTCTTATATCAGTGGTGGTTGTTTACTCTTCATATAATAGATCTTGTGGAATAGAGTGTGAAAAGTTAAATTTTTGGTTTTTTATTTTCTTTCTTCAGTAAGTAAAGAGTAGTATAGAGATGCTAAAATGGTCACAAGTCAGGAAATTAGCAACGGTCTTTGATTCTTTTTACTTAATTTGGCAAACTTTGGTGGTCCACACTTACTCTCTATCTTCAGTAGTTACAAATTTTGGCAATTAAGTACAAATTCTCTACCGAGCAGTTGTTACATCCTTAGAAGTATGCTAGACACATGTTCTTTGCTAGGATAAAGGTGTCATGGCTGGCAGCAAATGGCTTCTTACAAAGATTATTTCAAACAAAATTAGTTTCATATACTCTGTGTACAATTTTAAATGTATTTTCTTAAGGTAATTTGATAACTTTTTAGTGTACATTTATTTTGACTATGATTTCTGCCTGTGCCTTGAGGCCAACTGTGAAATTTTCTACTGATAGAATCAAGTTTGCCACTCAAAGGCTTGATTTTTGTTTTTTTTTTTTTTGAGCGTTTTCAATTTGGGGATTGTTAAATCTGTTCTTATATAAATGTTCTACCTCTCTTGTGAGTTTTGGGGTGAGTACAACTTGGGGCTTGGCATTAAGCTAGAGCCTGGTTTTTAAGTCTCAGGAAATGTAAAGTTAGGGGATGAAGAGATGATGGTTCAGTGGTTAAGAGAGAGAATTGCTCTTGCAGAAGACCTGAGTTCATTTCCCAGCATCCACATCGGACAGCTCACAACTCCTTGTCATTCTAGACCCTGGGGATAGGAAATCCTCTTCTGGCCTCCCTGAGCACTGTATTCATGTACACATAACCAACACAGCCACAATCATATAAAATATCTCTCTTTTCAAAAAAGAGAAGTTTAAACATATACAAGACCTTACTGAGAGGTCCATTATCATTTAAATAATTTGACATGAACTACTGTAGTTGAAACCATGCTGACTTTGGCATTAAAATTGTGTTTTTTCTTTAATAAGCAGGTTTATCCCCCGGATCATTTTTCTTGCTTAACTTGTGATCAAATGAGCCTCTTTATCCTCTGTTTTCCTGGACAACGGATGTGGAGGATACTGTGAATGTTTTGTTTCTTTAGCCCCTCCATGTTTTTAAATCCATCTTATTCTTTTTCTGCTTTGATCTATGAAGAACATGAGTTTTTTACCTCATTTTCATAATTTAAATATTTTCATAATATAAACATTGATATGTGTATATATATATAAATATAGATGCTCTTTAAAAATAAGAGAAAGTCATCCCTAGAATATTTGTTTTTTTAGTTTTATTTTCATGGTATGAAATAATTTGAGTTCCCTTACCAGTATGGTCATATCATTCATATATATATATATATATATGAATCAGCACTACAGATGTTAGAGCTGTTAGTACCTGTGCTTTAATTTTGTTCTTTTTTCAAATGCTTCATCAAAAATTAGTTTTAAGGAAAATCTCATTTTATTACCAATTATTTATCAGTTAAGAGTCATATTTCTAAAATACTAATGTTGAAGAAGCAAAAGCTAGCATGAAGACCTTCCTTAGTGTCTCTGTCTCTCTCTGTCTCTGTCTCTCTAAAATGAGAGTTGTCACAGATTGCATTCAATTACATTTATAGTGAAGAATTTAAAGATACTGTTTACCACTTATTTTTATTTTAAAATGTCATAAAATTAAAATCACCTTAATTACTATAATGCAGCAAACACTAGACCTTGACTGGAAGATGGTGTTAGTTTAGTTACAACTATCTTATGAGATGTTAGAACTTTGGTTTGCACCCTTGGCCTTTTACAGTAATGAGATGTCCTTTTAGAAACTGTCTTGGTATTGTAATATAATGTGGCTTGAAAATCTTAATGTATATTGAAATTAATAGTAATTGAAATTTTTTTGAAAGACAAAGGAATAAATCTAAAATAAGTACACATTTTGTGTAAGTTCAGATAACCTTGGTTGCTAGACATCGATATGATTCTATTCATCTACAACTGTTCCTTTTTTTCCTGCTTTGTAAAATAATTTTTTTGGTTTAGTCTTTTTTCTAGACATTCCTATCCTTGACTTTTCTTTCCAGATTTTGTTTCCTAGCCTGTTTGCCATGTTTCCTCCCTTCTTACGTGTCAGGAAATTATCCTACCCTTCTCCATTTTGGTAAGATAACAATTTATAAAAGAAATCAAAGTAGTATATTCAATATAAGTAGGTGGTGCACACAATCTTTTTCTTTGTAACTCTGCTAAAAGTGTACGTGTTTGTTTGTCTATTCTAACCCTTTTGGTTTTCCATTTTAAAATAAATTGAAGTTCATTTTTAAAAACCTTTCCTGCTTATAATTTAAAATACTCTTTGGTAATGTATCTCCAAAAAATTGACAACCACACAAATCAGATTTTCTCCTACAATTGGTGTATCGCTTGGCTCTTAAAAGCCTGTCCTTGTCTTCCTTAGAACATACAGAAGTGTACGTTTCTGTCAGAGTGACAGATATGCTTGTTAGAGTTGATGCCTTTATGCCATTTTCACAGTGTCAATACATTGTTAATTAATCTTGCATCACTTACAATGGCTCAGGTATGTCATAAATCCAAAATGTGCACTATTATCTTTTATTTGATATCATAAATGGAGAACCTGAGAGAGTTTTAGAATGGTAAAGTTGTCTTGGTGTTGTAACCCTAAATTGGACATACAAAGGCATTTTATATGAGTATACTGTTCTTTATAAACTTACATTTTAAAACAATCTACCCTTTCTGTTTCATTTTATTTTAATTTCTTCCATATTTTTCTGTTTTGTTTCTCTTTTTTCCCTGCAAGTTGCTTAAATATGCATTTGAAAATTATTTCTTTGGTCAAAATATTAGGATTTTACTTTTCAGAGTTTTTCCATAGGTCACTAATGCACATTTATCAGTTTAACATATTTTTATTCCAATTATTTTTCTTAATATATTTATAAACAGAATGAGATATATGCAATATTTAAACCAGACCATCTAGTTTATATAATTCATTTCCACTAATGTTGTTTATCTCTTTCTATGGTTTGCTATATTTTATAATTAAAATTATCAAAAGACCATAGCATCTGTTTTGATGTATTTGTCCAAGGTAGAACACACAAAGTAATCTATTAAAATATACCGTAAACAATTCCAAAGTGATGACTCTTTTTACCTTGTGTTTTCCATCTCTTAAATGAATATTCTGTAGATTACTTTGAATATAAAGTTTGATGAATTAAACTTAAGAGGTTGACCTTAATGAGTGTGTTTAGGTCTTTTATAAAGAAACAGCAGATCATTTTATTTGGACATTTAAGTGTCTGATAAGTTTTACAACTCTCAGACAAATTGTAATAAGGAATCTTCTGGAAGATTGGGATATTTTGACTATGGGTAGTATTCCTAGTTTCTTCTCTGAGCTACAGGAAGTTAGACCAATCAGGGCAGTATCAGGAATTTATAAAAGATTCAGTGCTGTCTATAGACATCTGAGCTTCAGAGGAATCACAACTTGTTTAAGATTTTCTAGCTGCTTTACAAACCATTGTTTAAAGGGTATGAATTACCATATATATCTTATACACCCTTAAACACAAATTACTTGGTCCAAGGGCAACCAGCCTTTGATGGCAGAGAAACATGTTAGTGATCTATGAAGCACTTGCGCTTGTTATCTTACTTGTCTTAGATGTAAAACTAGCTTATGATTCTTATGTCATAGGTTGAGTCCTGACTATAACATTCATATATATTCATGTAATTAAATCATAAGTTCACTATACATTGAGAATACATAGAAAGCAATAGGGTGTCAAATACAGTATAGTCCTTCAAATTTTTTATTAGTCCATAGTGTAAAGTTTAAAATATTGGACATGTAAAATTTCTCTAAGGTGTAATTAATTGAGAACTTAAATAGGTTTTTAAAAATGTGAGAATTTCAAATCATAGCTTTTATTCTACTGCAGTTCGTGGTACAGGATTCTTCCTGTAGGAACGTTGTTGAGCTGGAAACAGGTCTTACATGGTTTAAAGGATCTTGACTTTTTTTTTTTTTTTTTTTTTTTAAAGAACATGGGTGTTGTTTTCCAAATGCATATATAAAGCACTGATCAATTTGTGAGCTTTTTGACTTAGTGGTGCCTTTTTTTCAGTGTAAGAAACCAGAAATATTATTCTTTGCTTTTTAGAAGGAGTAACTCTCTTAGTTGGTAATATTTATTTTTATTTTAGATACTGTAAATTTTGATGACATAGCTTCCTCAGAGAACTTGTTACATCTCACTGCAAATAGACCCAAGATGCCTGGAAGAAGGTTGCCTGGCCGCTTCAATGGTGGACATTCTGTGAGTTTCCCTTAGTTTAGGAAAACGTAGACAGAAGAAAGTGCTGAGTCCCTTTAAGCAAACGAGTGGATTTATAGCACATCTAATTTTAAAAGATGAAAGACAGCTTTGTGATTCTTCAAGAAAATGGAGGAAAAGAGATATGATCAGTTTAATAATAGAGTCTTGCATGGAAGATTCCAGAGTCAGAAAATAGAGTTGTCTTAAGACCACAGTCAGAGCACAGGGCCAACGGGGAGCAGGGACTTTGTTCAGTGAGCACAGCAAGGGCAGTGAGGAAAAGTGAGCAGCAGATCCAGACTCCGGGGAAGGGGGTAGTCGCCCACCTCTTGGGATTCCTTCTCTTTACAGCTGAAGAACTTCTTTCCATGCTTTTTGTTTGTTGTTTAGAATGCAGATCTACTTCAGCGTTCCTATACTAGGTCATCAGCACAGCGTAACTCTAAAATTACCACAGTGGAAAAAGCTCTGTTTCTGTGAGGAAAGCTGGTTTTGCTCTTCAGATATCAAAAATATTACTCAGTCTGAAGTTATGTGACATCTTGTCCAGCTGTGAACAGTGGGAACAGCAGTAGCTAAGTGGTGGGAGTGTTGGCTGTATTGTGCCCGTGCTTCTTAAAATTTTCTTTTTATAAAATTTGTGTCTTGATTTTTTTCTTTTTATGTTAAACATATAGCCAACTCAAAGCCCAGAAAAAACATTGAAGTTACCAAAAGAAGAAGATAGTGGCAACCTAAAGCCGTTGGAGCTTAAAAGGGATGCAAGCTTCTCTTCAAAGGTAGACCCACTGTGGCCTAGGGTTGTTAATTTTTAAGATGTGTTATAGTCATCAATCAGGAAATTTAAGGCGTCCTTTTAGAAAGATTATTTTCTGTCTTCTGCCAAAAAATCAAGTAATTCTCAGTAAGCTTTAGTCGCATCAGCTCTTTTCATAATAGAAGCACTTAAAGAATGTATGTACTCTGTTTTGTATTTCCAAGACATAGGTCTGTACATTGTTTCGTTTTCTTACTGAATATACACTCTGGAATTAGTTCACCTAAAATAATTTGGGGGTGGGGCCTTTTTTTTTGTTTTGAGATAGGGTTTCTATGTGGCCCTGACTGGGTCTGTCTCTTCATATGTTTACCAGGCTCCCTCAAACTTTTGTTGATCCTCCTGCCTCCACCTCCATAGGCATGTAGGATTGTGCTCAACTCCCAGAAAATTTCAGTCTAATTATGTTTGAGGGTTAACAGCTTGGGAATCATGATTTGTTTATTCATTCTTTAGTTTGGTTCTTGGCATTCTCTTAAGCATTCTGCATGTGCTGGAATGAGTGGCAGAAGGATCCATTTTATTTCATGGTGATGTTTCTTTTCTAAAATTAATTATTTTTATTGAAGATAGTTTTGTTATAAATTACATATATAAGTAAGGTTAGTTATTTCTTATTTTCATTCTAAAATATTTGGCCACTTCTTGAATTAATTAAATATATTTAATCTGATTCTCCATCTTGTCAGCAGAAAAAGTCTCTTGAAACTTTTCTAAAATTACTGATTTTAGTGAAATCGTGTAGACTGAACTAAATTCTTCATAATTACTTTTAAGTGAGGCTTTGGATATTTATAACAATAAAGATTGAAACAGCACCTTAATGTTGATACAGTTTTACTTGTAGATGCCACACTAGGCAAACAATCCATTAGATAAGCCAGTGGTTATCTCCTTCCTTTAAACAAATAAAACCACTAGATTTCAGATCATTTTTTATTGATTATTCACACACCCCTCCACTCACCACAATGGATATACCAAACTGCTTTTGGAATTTAAATTTTACCATTTACCTTTTTAAAATTTTTTTTATTCTTTGGGAATTTCAGACAGTACATTTTGGTCATATTCTTGTTTTTCCTCCAACTCTTCCCAGACACGCACACACCCACCTCCCTTCCTACCAAACTTCACATTTTTTCTGTCATAACAAAATCATTGCAACCCACAAGAAAACAAGAATCCAGTTTTTGTTGTCCAACTACACCTGAGCATGGGACTTTCCCTGGAGTGTATAGTAGCAGCTGTTAATTGCATACAGCATCTTTGCCAGGGTGGACTATATGCCCCATCTGCCCTGAGCTGGAATTTTGTCTGGCTGGCCTGAGCTTGTACAGGTCCTGGGCATACTATCCAGTCTATATGAGTTTGCATGTGCACTTGCCCTGTTGGGTCCTGAAAATTCTTCCTGTCTTTGAAGTCATCCACCACCCCTGCCTCCTATTATCTTTCTGCATCCTTTTCAGCTTAGGTCCCTGGACCATGAGAGTAGGGGTGTGACATAGACATCCCATGTAGCACTGAGTACTACGACTTCTCTTATTCTCTGCACATTGTCTATATATGGGCCTCTGTCTTAATTGCCATTTACAATAAGAAGCTTGTCTGGTGAGGTTTGAGTGATGCCCTAATCTGAAGTTCTGGTTGGAAATTCACAGTCATGCTGTAAGCAGTCCTACAGCCAGTGCAGTGAGTCCCATTTTCCCTGAAGCATAGTTGAAAATCTTTTTTATAAAATGCTTGAAGTCGGAAATTTGGAAAATTTTAGATATGTATTTAAATGTATTTGGGGGCTGGGATTCACGAGTAAACATAAAATTTATTTGTCTCATGTAATTCCTTACCTATATTTAAACATGCCTGCAGTTTGAAGCAAAGTCTGGTGTAGAGTTTTTAAGGTTAGGGATTTTCAGATTAGGACTGCTTAATATATACTTCATTAATTGTTTGTATTCTTTTTGTAAAAGTATTGTGACCTGGGGATATAGCTCAAGAGTGCTTGTCTAGCATGCCCTGGGTTTAATCCCCAATAATGTATAAACTGTAGTCTCAATACCTGGGAGGTGGGGCAGGACGATTAGAAGTTTAATATATGAGGATCTAGAACTACAAGGCAGCCTGGACCACATGTGGACCTGTATTAAAAATGAAAACCAGAACAAAACATAATCTTCTGAATTTAAATATAATATTAAATATTAACAGAAGCATAATGAGAAAATTTTTGTTTTTCAGCCATCTCTTTCTACACTTTCAAGTGCTTCTAAAGTAAATACATCTACTTTCCTAACTCCATTAGAACTCAAAGCTAAAGCAGAAACAGATGATGGGAAAAAAAGTTCCCTGGATGAACTTAGAGCCCAGATTCTTGAATTACTGTGTATTGTAGAGGCACTGAAAAAGGATCATGGGTAAGTAACTATTATTTTCTCCTAAGCCACCCCCCTAACATGTTCAAGGACTACATTTAGGTGGTGTTATTGGAAGGTCTAATCTCCTAAGTTAAACAAGTGCACATGTTTCCAAAGACATTTTTGTTATAGCACTCTCAGAAAAACTTTGATTGGAAAACTTGTCCCAGTGGTTCAGTTCTAGAAGGTCTTTATGTACCTGTGTGCTTAGCCAGGAGCTAGCCAGGCACAGATGTCAGTCTTGAAAATCCTGAGAAACCTGCATTGCCATTTTTGGTAGGACCCAGATCTCATACTTATCTCTTAGAGGACTTTGACCCCTATTTCTGCTAGGCTTACATTAGGTGGTTACAAAATGAATGGGTGCCAACTCACAAGAGATCGCTAAAGCCCTTCTGTTAACTCTGAAAGTATTCGTTGTTGTCTGTTAGTGTTATGGATCAAGCTCATAGTGTTGTGCTAATGCCCTCTTCTACCACAGCCCTGAAAGTTTTTGATATGGTATATAGTAGAAATGCCTAATTAAAAGTTTGAGTTCTAAAAGTTCAAAAGCTGCCCTGTTGTAGACTCTTCCCCGTTTTAATGAAGAAATCAGAATGTAGAAGTAAGCCTATTTACCTATTCTTCAGTGACAGAGCCCACACTCAAAACCATGTTTTTTTTTCTTTTTTTTATTTTTAAATTTTTCAAGACAGGGTCTCTCCGTAGCTTTTGGTTCCTGTCCTGGAACTAGCTCTTGTAGACCAGGCTGGCCTCGAACTCACAGAGATCACCTGCCTCTGCCTCCCGAGTGCTGGGATTTAAAGGCGCGCGCCACCACCGCCCGGCAAAACCATGTTTCTTTATTGGTTTGCACATCTTTTCACCTATTGATATTTTAGTTATAGTCTTGCAAATCCCATAAATAACTCAGATGAAAGTCAGCTAATCTAATTAAAAAGAGGATGAGCATGCTCATCCCATCTCATTGTCTACCTTTTTTCCCCCCAAAGGATTTCCTAGACTAGGATATACAATTTATGCTTAGACCCTGAGTCTGATTTTATCATTTCTCTCTTAATTTGCACAACACATAGAATTCTTTATGAAAGGTGGTATTAGCAATATAAAGTAGAGCCTGGTATAGTGATGAGTGCCTTCAATCCCAGATGTAGGGGAAAATCTTTTAGTTCAAGGTCACCTTAATTGACACAGTGAGTTCCAGGTTAGCCCAGGGCTGTGTAGAGGGACTCTACATCAAATAACAAAAGTAAATTAAAAAATAACAGATGGGGGCAAAAATTTTATCTAAGATAACTACTGAAATATATTATTTACTGAATATATTGTGATTATAGAATTAGTCATTTGATATGCCAGGTCTTTCTTGAGTACATTGATCTGTTTCGGAAAGGATTTCATAAATTCTGCACTACACATGGTAGAAGCTGTATGCTCATTCCTCCGTAAATGAATACCTCCCACCAGTTATAAAATTCTCCTGACTTGCAAATTTTGTTGTTTTACACATTGAGTACCAGGTGTACTGATTTGAGACAGTGTATCTATCATGTAGCTCCATCTGGCCTTGTGCTCTCAAATTTATTATCACTTTAGCTCTTAATCCTTTTGTCTCATTGTCCCAAGTGCTGGAATTACAGGTATGTGCCCCGATAACTAGCCCAGGTTTAGGATTTTAATGAAATAGCACTTGGCATACATAAATTGCCTATATGTTCTCTTAAATTATCTATAGAATGAGTACAATAGTTTTGATTTATTATGTACAATTACATATCTTAAAAATCTTTCCAAAGATCATTTAAGCATCTCAAATTTCTCTGGAAAAATGAAGGTCCATGGCAGGGATTTTTGTTGTTGTTGTTTTATTAAATCTAAAATCATAGAGCCACAACAAGAGAAGGAATATACAATACTTATTGGTATACTAATTGAGAAATGTACAGTGTGTAAGTAATGATGAATGATTGTGGCTGCATGAATCAGTATCAGTCAGTTTGTAAATTGAAAGGTGGGAACAAATCAGAAATATACATACAGTGTTACTCCTTGTATATAAAGTTAAAAAAATATGGAACCAAGAAAAAAATACTGTTTTAAGATATATTTGGGGCCAGTGAGATAGCTCCAAATGACTAGAGTTTGGTGTCCAAGACCTACATAATGGAAGGAGAGAACTGACTCCACAGTGTTGTCTTCTGCTTTCTGTGGGGAGGGGGAGGAGGTGCTAGTTAGGTTTCTGTTGCTGTGAGGAGACACTACAACTCTATAAAGAAAACATTTAACTCAGGGGGCTTGCTTACAGTTCAGAGGAGAGTATGGTGGCATGTAGGCAGAGGATCTAACAGGCTTCCAACAGAAGATGATGTGGCCCAGATTAAAGGTGTGCTTTCCAGCTTCAAGGTCTGGCTTAAAAGCACACTTATCATCCAGCCTCCTCCAACAAGGCCACACCTCCTGATAGAGCCACTCCCTGAGTTTTTGGGCCCTAAATACTTTGAGGCTACCACAGAGAGGAAGAGAGAATGAGAGTCCCTGAGCATGCAATGTCTGTAATTATAGATGGTTATGAGTCACCATGTGGGATCTGGGACTTGAACACTCCTTTATTTTATATGTATTTTTGATACATGAGTGTGTGTGTATGTGCATGTAACCACTTTGATGATGTCTACCTCTCCTCTTATTACCCCTTTCTAAGTCATCATCCTTTTCTCAACTACATCATTCTTTTCTCAACTACATGTCCTTTTATTTACTCATTTTTAGTAACTCATTGGGTCCAATTAGTACACAAGGGTCAAAGGTCATAGCATAGCAAAGGTGGAGCATAGACAAGCCATCGGGCCAAAATCTTGAAGAGAACTGATTGTTCTTTCAGCAGCCATCAATTGCCAGTAGCTCCTTGGTTACTTCTTCTTGGTTAGGCTGTATTGATTACTGAGAAAAATAAAAGTAAAATTTAACAGCTTATATATTTCAAAACAGTTTCTGGAAAAAAAACACAGCACAAAATAAATACATACAGAATTACTGTGTAGACATGATACAAAATACTTACAGAAATACGGCATAGAAAATGTAGATTAGAAGGAATTGAAAAAGTAACAACATGATTTTAAAAATATAGATTATTGGCTGGAATATTTTAATTTGGGGGATTTACTGTAATATTTAGTTGAAAGCAACAGAGAGGAACTTGAAGTTCAGTTGTCACTTTGGTATTTGTTTTGAGTGCTGGAGTGCCCAGCCTATAAAATGTGTAATAGGCGATTATGGAGAACTGCTTTTAAAAGCCAGGTATTATTTCTGTATTTGTCCTTAGCTGTTTTGAATTTATTTGTTCATTTATTTTGTTTTGGGTTTTTTTTTTTTTTTTTCAAGACAGTTCTCTCTGTGTACCCTTAGCTGTCCTAGAACTTGCTCTGTAGACCGGGATGCAGGGTGTTCTCAAATGCAGAGATCTGCCTGCCTTTGCCTTCCAAGTGCTGCGATTAAAGATGTGTATCACCATTGCCTAGCTTAATTTCTTTATTTCAGATATATTGTCACTCTTTTAGTGATTTTTTTTTCTAATTTAACTTTTTATTCTTTGTGGATTCCGCATCATGCATCTTAGTCCCACTCATCTCCCCATACTTTTACATCCGCCCTCTACCTTGTAACACCCCCCCCCCAAGAAAAAATAAAATTTAAAAAAAGAAACGAAAAGCAAAATCTTATCATGGAAGCTTTAGTGTGATGCAGTGAGATACAAAGTATACCCTTTAGTCCATACATGTTTACTTGCAAATGTTCATTGCAGTGAGTTCTGGTTTGAGGCCTCTGGTTTCTGCCATGCCCATGTGGGTGCTGGAAACCAACCCAGGTCTTCTGTAAATGCAGCAAGTACTTTTAACCGCTTAGCTATTTTTCCAGCCCCATCTTCCCATTTTAGCTCTTTTAATGCTCTACCCCACCTTCACACACCTAGAAACCTCTACAGTAGTAACTTTATATGACTTTTTCAAATGGTCTTTAGTATTATTTATATGGGGAGGTATAAAATAACACCAAAGACATTTATTTTTATTATAATGTATGTTTCTGCACGTGGTTATGATTCCTACAAAGTCCAGAGGAGGATATCAGATTCTGCTGGAGCTGAAGTTAGGAGTGGTCGTAGGGCCCCTCATATAAGTGCTGAAACTCAACTCAGATTCTCTGGAAGAGTAGAAAGTACCGTTTTTAATCTTACATTGAATACTCAAACTAAAGAATTTGAAAATTTTCAAATGAACACGGTCATTGTTCTCTCTCTCTCTCTCTCTCTCTCTCTCTCTCTCTCTCTCTCTCTCTCTCTCTCTGTGTGTGTGTGTGTGTGTGTGTGTGTGTGTAAGTTACAGCTCCAGTTATGATCAGTAAACTTTGCCTTTAGGAAAGAACTGGAAAAGCTACGCAGAGAATTGGAAGAAGAGAAGGCCATGCGGAGTAACCTAGAGGTAATGCATCTCCAACTCTTGAAAGTGTGAGGTTTTGTGTTCCCTCTCTTCACAGTGTGGTTGGCTCTGCTACAGACTGTGCTTGCCTGCCTCAAATGAGTGTTTCCTAAATCTCCCACATTTCTTGTGGACTTGGTAACATTGTTTTATTCATGCAGTTAAAAAGATTGTTTTTCTTGCTGTTTTGAGAATCACACATGGGGCTTTGTACTTGCTAAGGAAAGGTTCAGGTGCTGAGCTGTAGTCCCAGCTCAGTAATTTTTCTGAGTACTAACTCAGGACAGTGTGGGAAGCACCTGGTATCTGAGGAGTCTGAGTAAATAACTGCTGTTGTTTTCTTTGGTCTCTCTGTCTCTCTCTGCCTGCCTGCCTCCCTCTACCCCCTCCCCACCTCACCTTGAGGGGAAAACAGGTTGTGTCACTCACTTCCATTTGCTACTGGAGAGGTTACATTGTTTTGTTTTCTGGGGATAGCTGGAAGTACACTATTTCTTAATTTTAACTTTTCTCCTTGTTTTTCTCTTCACTGTGTTCTGCCTCTTCTGAGCCTTCCTTCTCTTCCTTCGTCACTACCACCATCACCCCTCTCCTGCCTTGCTTCATTACTTACCTTCATTATCTTGTCAGAGGATCAGAAAGTGTGTTTTCTCAACTTCCTGACTTACCCAAGGGCTACTTCTCAGCTCCATATCCAGTGTGCTTAGATATTGCAAGGAGCAATGAGGATTATTAACCCTACTACACAGGTGAAACTGGGTCATGGTATAGTAGTGGGATGCAGCTAGAGTCATGGCCTTCATCCTTTGCCCCGTGGGAGTCCTTATCCCCCATAGCTCTCTGCGATCAGTGTATGTTGTCCTGAAGGTCCCTTATCAGTTACCACAACTTCATTGATTCCTTTTGGCACCCTGTTTCTTTGTATGAAAATACTCGTTCCTCCTGTGCTCCTTTATTTAAAGACAAAGCCTTTCTTGATCTGCTGTAGTTCTTTTCACTTTTTATTTGGGGTTCGTTTGCCACAAGACAGACATAGATCTCACTCTGTTCCCTAAAAATGTCCTGCGTTTTTCATCTCAGGTTCTTTACCTTGAAATTGGTCTCTTTTGTTTGTTTGTTTGATTTCTTGAGACAGACTGGCCTTAAACCTACTACAATATTCCTGCTCCATCCTCCTGAGAATACAAACATGGGCCACCACATCCAGCCTCAGCCCTGTGCATTTTAGGTTATGCTTGCTGATGGCAGATCTAAGTCTCTTCTTCAGCTTCTGTAGCATGTCACATTTTTTCCATTATCACCTATAAAAGGTTTTCTAGGTCCAGTGGCCCTGCGTTCTCTTTTTTTCTTTTTCCTTTCAAGAGATTTTTCCTTGTGTTCATGTGTGAGGGGTGTATACATGTGTCAGGTTTTTTTTCCAGTACTTATTTCAAATGCTTGTATCATTTAGCATTGTTGTTCTAGCTAAAAGAAATACACTACTTTTTCTTATTTCTGGCCATTTAGGAACTTGCACTGCTCTATTTTCTACTGACACTCTTATTTAACAGTATTATTTTTTGTACTCTGGAGAATTAGATTTTGATATTGAAATCAGAATTCAGAGGTTGGAAAGTGAGGTCATGTAGTACAGATAGTCTTACTTAAACCTTGTACAATTTATGTTTTGTTTTTAGGTGGAAATTGCAAGGCTGAAGAAAGTTCTTCTGTCTTCCTGAGGTGGTGTGGACCCAGTGTTCTTTAATGCTCCAGTGATTTAGGAGCAACACTATGAACTTAACCGACTTGTTAAGACAGCAGATGTGGTATTGCAATGAAGAAATGGGAGTACATGAACTGTGATATTACTGGAAAGTTAGGGAGTGTGACAATTTTTTATATATATATTTTGTTTTGCCAATATGAAAAAAAGAGGCCTTATTTCCTACTGTGCTGGGATAGCAAACATTTATGTTGTTTGCTTGAAAATACTACTGAATCTGTATAAAAAGGAATGAAAGTTCACAATAGTTTTTTTATTGAAACTTGTATTATTTTTAAAGAGTTCTATACTATAAATATCCTACTATCTTTACAAATAAGCTGTAAGATAAACTATTTGAGATGGACGGGTTAGCTTTATAGTAACTAGAATCACTGCTTTCCTGTAATACTTAAGGACATAAACTTGTATACTTGCACTACACACACACACACACACACACACACACACACACACACACACACACTTCTTACCTAGGATTACACTGTTGTGCCTGTGTCTGCAGTGCTGTTTGTACATTGGGTGGTAAAATATGAGTTCCTAATTACCAGGCTCCTCACCCATGCATAATGAATTGTTAATGAAATAATAAAAGCAAATTCAACTTCTAGGGTGTTCTATAATGCTCACACTATAGGATTCATTAAGAGAAGCTAGTTAAAAAATACTGGATTAATCTTTGGAAAAATACGAGCTTTGTTCTCATTCATGTGGCCCAAGGAATCTAAAAATGTCATGCTAATTCTTCTTCGTGCCTAGACACTGCAGCACATGTTGAATAGTGTAAACCCAGCCTTATGGCTGTGTTCTTGTGCCCATTCTACAGTTCTAAATATTACTCATTTCATTATCTTACAATTAGCTCTTTGTAGCCTTCCCTTAGTTTTCACTAATGATAACCTTAGGAAGCAAAGCCTCTAAACCCAGATCTTTTCAAAATTTTAGAATGAAGGTCCATATTGGGAAAGCTATAATGTAAACTCAGGTTTTACAGACATAATTTCTCAAAATAGAACACAATAACTCCTAGAAATATTTTAGGTTGTTACTTCTGTAAATATTAAAAGAGTGTTAGTATTTCACAAATAGTAACATTATGGGTTATGAAAATCAAATATAATTGACCATGTTGAAGATTATTTCAGAATGAATGCTTAATCATTTTTCAGCATCACAAATCAATAGTGGAACATCTTAGATCAGCCACATTCAGGGTGGTATGGCTCAGCCCTGTAGGGCAACGTGTCTAAAAACAATGAGGAAACGGTTTTATTTGTTGAAAATCAAGTTATATTTTAAAGTTTACTTTATTAAATGATTATCAGATTGAAGGTATCATGCTTCTTAAAAAATACTTTTTCTTTACATTTTAATCTTAAAATGGAAAAATCTTTTTAAGTGAAATGTCTTGTGTTACTTCAAATAAAAAGAGAACTGAAGTAGAAAATAGAATTGCCAACACAAAATCACACTTGATTAACTTCTGGGGACAGCATTAATTTTACATCAAATGTGCATTTTAACCTTTTTGGTTGTTGAAAAAGGGTCTTTTATTGCTTGGGCTGGAGTCAACCCAAAGATGATTTTAAATTTCTGATCCCCCTGCCTCTGCCCACTGCGTGCCAGGATGACAGACACACCACTGTGCCTAGCTGTTTTAACCATTTCAAGTCTAAGCTTATCTAATGAGGGGTTATTGATGGACAAAATTATTCCATTTTATCTTTAAGTGATTAGTCAAATGAATCAATTTGCTTTTTGTTAATAAACTAGCTCTTAATGACAATTTTCAGATGAAAGCAAATGGTCCTATCTTAGAAATCACCCCCTGCTTTCCGCATTGGAGATTTGTCTTCCCCCACAATGCTGGATGGAAAAGGTTCCAGCAGTTCAAGTTTTGTTATTTTCCCATTGAAGGTTATTTTAATACAAAAATGACGTAAATATTCAACAGTAGGCAAGTGACTAGTGTACGCTTTCTGGACAAACATGTAGCTCATAGATGCTAATTAAAATGTAAAAAAATTGGTAAAATAATTCTTATAGAAAAACAGACAACAGAAAACTGAATTTATGTGATATAAGCATGAGTATGGAAAATAAAAGCACAATCCCTTATTGTATATTAAATTTGCGCAGTTTGGTTCCTTCCTGAACTATTATGTATCATTTATCTGCTTGGTGATCTTGGCCCTGGCAACACATATATTTAATACTTGTGAGCTACTAAAATTTATTGGCGTCATGTATGGTGACTGCATGCTTGTAGGTTGTAGACTGAGGAAGGAAAGGACTGAGCTTAAGGCCAGCCTGGACGGTATAGAGACCCAGTGTCCGTTAGAAAGGAAACAACCTTCCTTTGGCGATAGTGATGGTGATAGTGTGTGCTCTGCACTCGCCTGTACAGCCAGAACGGCAGTGAGTGCTGCAGTGCACACTTTCGTCCTCTCAGTCAGAATGCAGAAGTCATACTGGCTTTGTCCTCCTTTTTTCTGTATGCCTGGTTTTCTGACATTAGCGATAGAACTCAGAAAAAAAACAAGCAAGCTTGAACTTACTAAAGGGAAAAAATGATTTCCTTAAAATAATAATTAGCCAGTATTTTGCCCTTGATATGGGAACTTTTACTATTCCTAAAGTTAATATCACAAAATGATATTAAGTATAACTTGTATTTTGAGGTAAATCCTCCCCACTGGTATAAAAGACAACATTGAATCTATCATTGCCAAATTACTAATGAAAATCAGATTTTCTGTTCTTTGAAACAATACTACTACGTTTCTAATGGGATTTCAATGTTATTTTGGTGTGCTTGTGACCACTAAGCTTATTCTTTACTATAAAGCTGTCAGCTCCATTGAGCTGTGCAAGATTTCACTGGGAAGCTGGAAGGTACAGAGAGAATGGGCCTGGTTTAACACTCCTTACAGTGATCACATACAGGAAAACGCTCCAAGTACCCTGGATTTTTTGATGAATGTTTATGCTACGTTTAAACTTGAAATGTATGAGCAGAATGAGACAATCTTTACAATCAGAACTGAGAAGTGTTAGAGTTGAATGGCCTTGTGCTGTAGCAATAAAATGACCAAGTGCAATGACTTTAATAAAATCATCTTTCAAAAGTTGCTGCTATGAATATTTTTAGTTTTAAAATTCCTTGTGTAGCCTACCTTGCCTTCAGTAGCTATTAATGTGATGCAGTTGATGTTTGGACAGTCTAACATTCCAAAATCCATATATATATATATTCTCAGAATAGTATATTCGTTTTTTACAGGTGCTGTAAAAGAAGGAAATGAAAGCATGTTTTCCCCTAAAACAAAATTAATAATAAAAAAGAATTGTATTACTACTTGTGTCAGTCTTTATTGGTTGTTGTTTACCTTAGTTAACCATGACCAAGGCTACTTATAAATGACAGCTTTTGGCTCATGGTTTCAGAGAGTAGAGTCCATGATGGATGACAAGGCAAAGGCAAGGCATAGAAACAGCTGAGATCCTTACATCCTGACCCACAGCTGGAGGCTGAGAGAGGTATACACTGGGAACCCGCCAAGCCAGTCCATCATGGTGACACCATCTTCCAACAAGGCGACACCCCCCAGTCCTTCGTACAACAATCTAGTAGCTGGGACCACACATTCAAATATGAGCCTGTGGAGGCCATTCTTATTCAAACTACCATGTTGTTCATTATATGCTGTGTTTTTAAGGGTGATGAGGATTATTTGTATTGCTTTGAATTTTCAAAAAAAGTAAAAAGAAGAAATGCCCAAGTTTTATAGCATTGCAAGTTCTGACTGGCTGGATTTTACAGAACTATTCTTAGTATCTCTTTCATTTGAAACTGCTTAGATAGTTCCTACCTCAGGATGGGGGCAGAATTTGAGGTTCCGTGAAGCACCTTGTAGAGCACTTGGTCCAGAACTAGATTGAAAAAAAAAAAATGGAAATTGCCATCTTATTCTTCAGAAGCATTTATAGTGTCATTGTGAGACTTCTTCCTCTGGTTTTGAATAGAGCATTCCTTTCTTGGCGGGGAGGTGTTGGCTACTCTATTTGTGGGACAGATTTGAAGGTAGCTGCCCCTTCAGAGAGAACTTAAATTGTTGTGGTTGGTCTCTGTCTGGGATTTTTCACACTGGAAGTAAAGGCTGTAAGTGTGCGAGCTCTTTTGAGAGAAGGAAGTTCAGTAGAGCATGGAGTTGTGAGGAGGAGCCAGGATTGCCACTCACAACAGTCATTCTTGAGGCTTCAGGTGTACATTTGGCTCCCCTAAGCACATCTCATGAGCTTATTGATTTTTCAGAGTCCAGATGATAAAAAAAAATGGACAGTAAAAGTCACTTAGTTTTAGAGTATCGCCAAGTATTTACATGGACTTGGGTTCAAAAAGAGGAAAGAAAAAAAGCTGGTCGCTACATACCGTGGTTGAAAATGGGTCTCTGTGGTCGCTTTAAATGTTTGCTGGAAGACTGACCATCCAGAGTATGGGAAATAAACGTGCTGCCTCCTTTAAGTTAGAAATGAGGATTCTTAGTCTAAAATTTCAGTTCTGTCTTTGTCATTCTGCTTTTAGGCTGAGGATTGAAACTCGAGGCTTCACACTTTAGGCAAGCACTTTACCCCTGATACCCTAAAAAAAAAAAAAAAAAAAAAAAAAACAAAAAAAAAACCTCTTAAAGAATGCTTTAATTTTATTATGTATGTGCATTTTGTAGCTCCACACAGAAGCCAAAGGAAAGCATTGGATTTCCCTGAATTTATTGGCAGTTGTGAGTTGGCTAGTGGGAACCACTATAAACATGGGGTTGCTGAGCTTTTGCTTGTCCTTTGAGTCACTGTCTCAAATCGGCCTTGAATTTGAAACCTTCCAGCTTCTCCAAGTGCTGGGATTACAGGTGTCTGCCACCATGTTTGGATTCTGATTGCTTCCTTGGATCTGAATAAATACAGGACAAAATTTGGCTATTTAGAGAAATGCTGAGCAAGGGTTGAGTCAGGTCATTTATTATCTAACTCAACTTTGTACAGATGATTCATCTGAAGGTTGAATCACTAGGTTCAGTTCTAGGAGAAAAGCAGACACCAGCTTAAATGGATCAGTTCTATGACCTTCCATTCCACTACCATAACCAGTAATTTTAATTTGGAGGCTAATGGAATAAGTAATGGGCTTCATTTTGTGTGTGTGTGTGTGTGTGTGTGTGTGTGTGTAAGTGTATTTGGGGGCAGGTGTATGTGTGTTGAGCCCTTTCTCAGGAACCATTCACCTTGTTTTTGAAGTGTCTTACTGAGCCTAGAACTCAGATATTTCTGGTCAGTGAGTCAACCATCTCCTTGGCCTTTGTGAGGCAGGAGGATCTCTGTGAGTTAGAGACCAGCCTGGTCTACAAGAGCTAGTTCCAGGACAGGCTCCAAAACCACAGAGAAACCCTGTCTCGAAAAACCAAAAAACCAACAACAACAACAACAAAAGAATATATTATATCGTGTCCTCATTCATTCCCCTCCTGTGTTCTTCCCAGAACCACTCCCCTCTGGTTCCCTTTCTTCCCACAGACAGTTCCCTTTTCTATTTATCATACATACTCCATTACA